CGCGCCATTTACACAGGGCTTTATCGAGGGCTCCAGCGCTGAATACAGAACACACTCTATTTGGCTTTCAGTCAATTAAGCTTTAAGCTGTCAGCAAACAAGACTTTTAAGTTAATTTTGAATCGCCACAAATCAAGTTGAAGGTTGTGAAAGGGCAGGCTCACATGCCGGCATGAAAAAAGGCAGTTTAATTGCCTCTGAATAGCTATTATATGCTGCAATTGGTCTATTGAATCTTAGATGATCTATTTATTTATCAAAGTGCAAAGGCTGGTAAAAGAATGCAATGTATGAAATTTAATCTTTTCCCTCTTGCGTAAGTAGGTAAAATTAAAGTTTTTGCATATAAAAAGTACTACTGAAATTATTGTCTTTTAACGCGATTCAATGGGTTTGCATTATATCTTTTTTTAGTAGTTACAGCTGTCCAAACTACAGCTGAAATGTGAAAACAAGCAATTTCCAGTGCAATAAGATATTGCTTTTTTTTTTTTAAATTTCCATCAGGTTTTTTTATACACTATGTAGATAACTGCTGTTTTGAAACCATTAGTTTGAAAACCTGACTATCCAGAAGAAAGGTAGAATGCTATAAGACCAGTTGCTATTAAAACATGTTACAAAAAAGCTGCTAAAAGTTTCATACCAGACCTTGGCCTTCATGAAAAATCCCTTTGTTTAGAATAAATTGAGATCTGACAGTATCAACAGGAACGGGTCTTAAAACTTAAAAATTGTTTTCATCAATCCACCTAGAAAAACTGCAACACAGGCTAAGGAAATACCATTTAAAAATGTACAATAGAAGTAATTTTAAGAATAACATCCTTTAACTTTGCTGTGGCTAATCATACACTTAAAATACGTGGTTAACCATGGAAAAGGGTCTGGCTGATTTCTTAACACAATGCATATATACGTATCAAATAGTAAACCCTAAAATTATTACAAGTGAATGGGCACAATTTCTCTTTTTATATCTAACTACAAGATTCTTTCAAACAGGTCTAGTGCAGCCAGCTGCAATTCTTCACTTGCTAAATCATGCAAGATTTCGACTAGGTATTCTGGTAGCAGCTCCATTATCCACTTAATACTGACCTCAGCCAAAACCCTCCTGTTTTATGTTCTTTCTATCATCAGGTCCTGCAAAACTTGCGTGAAGAGGAGTGGTTTGCATATAGAAAGTGAAAAGTTATGCATAGCTAAAAACACTTTAAAAATTATTGAGAAGTAGCGAAAGAGATCTGTTAACGATGGAAAAAGTAACCAAAACTAAATGTGTGAAGAGTTTACTCTTCCAGCACTGGAAGAGGCCTCTCGTAAGGAAATCATGTGGTTACGACTACGTTTCTCATTTCACGTCTGCATTTAACCAGGCTGCCGCATCCCAGTATTTCTGTAGCACGGGAGGGACGGCGCGGTTGCAGGAAAGGAGTGCCCCCGCGAGCAGTGCTGCTGCCGCAGCTGCCAGGCTGATGACGGACCTTGCCGCCGCAGCGCTCGGCACGGCCCCCAGCCCACAACTGCTCTGCTCCCTTCACCAGAAACCACCCCAGCAGCCCCCCAGACAAACCAGCTTTCTTGAATTCGTGCTTCCTTAATGAGTACACGCGGCACTCTCCCACCGCTGACAGACGCCATCCAGACAGATGTCAAGCCCGTAACCCCCTCACAGGGAGCAGAGCTCTTAATGGCGTTTACGGGGTGACATCTGCCTGACTGGCACATGCCCGTATCTTTTCAAATACAAGCAGCTTTGTTGAAAAACCCTGTTTTTACGTGAATTACATTTCCTTAAAAAAAACAACCAAAACAGAATTTTACCCATAATTTCATGCTTCCTTGTAGACAGCTAATTACAAATTGTAGGAACCTAGATTCTCAATTAACTTGATGTACAATTACCTATTAGACACATTACTCGCGGTGCTTCAGAATTCGTGTCAGTATACAAGAAAACTTGATCAAAAATTAACTTTTACACATTATATAACCCGTGTCTGAACTCACATACCATTTTTAATTGTAACAGAAGTCCCAAGTGACAAAGACGGGTCGGTGCGTATTTTCTCTATTTTTGTAATTAGCATCTGAAAGGGATGAAGTTTGCTTTAGATGATAAAACCTCACTTTTCTGGCGTTTTACACAATAGTCAGTGCATGATACGGTAGATGGTTTCCCAATGAGTGATTAAATACAAATTAAAAGCCTCTTTGATCTCTCCATGGTGGGCTTTGGAGATACAAAAATGTATGTGACAGGGTTTGTGGAAGGTGCTCAGGTTCAGCCTAACCTACTTAAAAAGAAACCCAGCAGGACCCCTGTCCAGACACTGACTCTTTTGGCACCCTCATTGTGCTGAACAGTGGGCCACTGGCTTGTTTGCTGGGGACGGCAGATGGTGTCATTTGTTGTGTACCTCCACTCCACCCCAAATTTTCAGTGCAAGCCTGGCTGGTAACGGGAGGGATGCAATGGGCAAGGGCACCTGTCGCTCCCGCTTCAAAGCGGCCAGCTCCAGCAGTATGAAAGAGAATGAAGAGAAACCACCAAAGTAGTCCAGAAGCTCAACATATTATAAAAAATTTAACAAAAGAAAAAAAAAAAGCATAGTATATGACTTAACAGATGACCGTCCACAACTTTCAGCTCACAGTTTGTTGAAATATGTTCTTCTGTTACAGTGTAAGTCTGAGTAAGAAATTGTAACAACACACAGCGAAAAATACATCACCTAGGAACTAATTTAAAACTATTTCAATAGTTAGATGGTACCAAAATCAGAAAGTCTAGACAGTTGGGGTAAAATAAGTAGTATGCAAGATATGAGAAAATGCTGGAAGTTAAAAACAGCTGCAAATGCATTCCATATACTGCTGCACTTCAGCAGCAGCGATGGTGCGGCAAGACGCAACGTGAATCACAAGAAACAGAACCCCTGTCCTTACACTGTTGAATCTTTAACACAGACAAAAATAGCTCTTTAATCAGTGACAATATTCAAGTTTAGACTATAGGCTAATCTAGCAATATATCCTGCTTCTGACTTTGCTGGTTAAAGGATAGTTATTGCTTAAAAAATAGTACTCATTATGCACAAAAATAGATTTGTGAATATTGACAGAAGATTTAAAAGATTAAATTTTCAAGTTGACGAACATTTATCAGGAGCATTCCCAGATTTTATTTTCTGTATAAACCTTTGTATGTGCACTACTGCAACTGCTGGGTCAGCCTCTTACCAGAAAAAAGTGTCTGTACAATGCACAAGTCAGATGAGAGTCTGCTTGACTGAGACTCCTTTTGATTACATGGCTAAACAAAGAGTATTTTTAAAGCACCTGTTTACTGCCTTACCCTTGCCTTACCACAAGACATCTTCAAACAGATCTTTCTCCTTCTGTGCAAGGGATCACCAAGGGACAAGAAGGCTGACCATTATTTCTTCCCTTTCTGTGCACTAACATCTCACGGCAGCATGCAGCAGAAAATGGACTGGACCAAATAGTAAGCCTTATCTCTGTAGCTAAAGCAGTCCACATGCCCTACCTCCCAGCTTTTTGGAATGACAGATCCTTAGGAATAAATTGCATTTCAATTCAATTCCCCACTATCCTGATGCAGCACTTGACTATGCTATACCACAGTGCTTCCTAAAGCGATAAATGTTTATGTTGGCTCAAGTAGAATTGAATGAGAATTGTATCTGTCACTGTTTGTATTTATGGAAATACCAAAACAGAATAACTGGTCCAAGAACAGCGTATTTAATTAATTTGTTACCTGTCAGGCCACCTGTTGGAGCATTACCGTTTTACAAACAAGCCAGCTTAAGCGAGTTGTCAGTACTACGGTTCTGTTCCTCAGGGCAGTGTTACCTCCTAGGAGCAGGCACAAGAGCAGTCACAGCAGTCTGTTCCTTGAATTTCCCACTCACTGACATTTTATTTTCATACAGCTATTAAAAACAAAGTGTAAAAAACCCATAAACTGTTTACTGTTTAATAGCAGACAGAGTAGGTAACCAAAGCAATTAGGGGGCACAAAATCTGCTTGCTAAGGTCAGAACAGCATTCCAAGGACATCTAACTCTCCCTCCCCAAGAGCCGCGTGTCTTACTTAAAACTCCTCCAAATCTCCCAGAACTAGGCAAACCATCTAGCAAAGCTCTTAGGGCTTGCTTCTGCTTCTACCTCGCACACACGTACGTGGTCCCACTGCTTCAGACAACGGCCCAGATGAGTTCCAGCATGTACCTTCTTTTCCACCAAAGAAGTGGAAAAGAAGTTGGCTGAGCTGACTGCTGGTGCTCACAGAATGGTCCAGGTGAAGATTTACCAAACAGAGGCATGCCTTTGAAAACCTGGTATCTACAAAACCAAGGTAGTCAATACTTCTATAGTCTTTGCAGCCGAGATGGCTGTACATGCCATTCAGAGTTCAAGGAAGTGGGGAAAAAAACATTTAAAAAAATTAGTGTTTAATTAGAAGGAGGAACAGGTTTGTACTTTGCAAGTGTCATTGTCAATAGTAACGTGAATAAGGTTATCGTTACAAAATGCGATTGCCATGGAAAAATTCCACATTATGCAGTGCTGAAGAGGTTGGTGGTATTATCGAAGTCAGCGGAACAGAGACAAAAATAAACCTTTCATGGCAAGAGCCGTCTCTCATTGTATGTGGCACCATCACCACAAGGTCTTAACTGAGTCCTGGCATTCCTATTACAACAAGCAACACCAAAACCCACCGACAGGACACTTGCCTAAGTCTGCAAACATCTACAGTGACCCTGGGAATTAATTCGAACTAAATTAATTCTAAACTTGCTAGAAGTTTCTGTTGATTAGGTATAAGAGCAATCCATACAATACTCAGAATATACATGTCATTGTGCCCCAATATGTTAGTTATTTCCGTTACGAAGGTAACATCGCACACCTCGGAGGCAAACATTCCTGCAAACCTGGAAGTTACTTCCTTGAAGTTCTTCGTTTCCCAAACAGCTCCACACAGTAACCTTGGCGGGTTTTTAAAGGCAGTCTGTTTGTGCTGCCCTATCATTTTCGTTTTAAGTGAATAAATGGGTCAGAGGTAGCAATGCACTGTTGGGATCACTCTGCATGGCTCGGCCTTGAGGAGAAGGAGCTGTGGTAAACAACTAAGAGGAAGCAAAGGAGCGCAGGAACACCTGCAGGCAGCGAATCCTGACAGTGTGAGGGGCGCGTGGACAGCGCGTGATATTTTGTATATAGCCAACTGCAATAACGTGTAACAAGCTGTAACCAATCATGAGTGTGTGCGCGGTGACTAAACAAAAATTATGATATATATTGGAGTCAGACAAGACAAACGGCTTCGGAATATAACTCTCAGAGTTGTGAAGTCCATCCTTCTCCCGCAAAGCACTACAGCGCTGCCCTTTGCACAGCCTCGGTGACATGTGACCATTTATCCCTGTTGCGTGCTCAGCCACGTCCTTGCTTTACTACCCCTATAGATGCTGCTGCACTTACGTTAAAACATAAAAACAAGCATTTGTATCTCCAAGTATCTAACAGTGCTATGCTGTTGGTGTTTTGGTTTTTCTTCTTACAGTATCTTGCTCTTCCTTTATTTATTGGAAAAACCTATTTGGATTTCTAAAATAAAACTTAGATGCTATCTTGGATCCCAAATTTGCATTGAAAATACAAATAGATTACAAGTTACAAAAGTAAAAAAAAATTCTTTTGAAAAAGCCAATTTACCATCATGATGAATTACAAAGTGTTGACCACTAAAGCTAGTAGATTTTACGCCCAACTAGGAAAAAATGCTGTTGTCCATACATGAACTATTTAAGGAAAGCGTTTGCTCTAGTTTTAGTTATCCAGAAAAGCCTTTCAGGCATTAAAGATAGCCATAAATACTACTACTACATCAGAAGACTATTCTTGCATGTATTTTCAGTGCATTTGAAGACAGACCCAATCTTCTAAATAACTCCTGCGTGTGTGTTTTTAAATGCTTAGGAGGCACTGTAGCGTATTACTGAAGTATTTTCCAGAAACAGGCTTCAGTGCTTTTCAGCCAGCTAAGCTAAAATGCTTTAATCTCTAAAAGGACTGATGTGAAAGTGATCCTTTTAAGAAATTATTCGGATAAATGAAAGCATTTGGTGAATCTCAATTTGAACTGAAAAAAAATCCTGTTGGCCACTGCACACCAGCATTACTTTGTGCAGTCAATCAATAAATATTAGCCTTGGTAGGACTACAGAAAGAAGCTGCATCATTTTAAGATAAGGTTAAATTTAAATTGTCTCAAAACTTTTTTTGTATTCTACCAACACAAAACTAATTGTATTCAATTGTAGACTAAAATTTCATCTTTACTCAGGATACTTTTTAAAATCTCGACCAATTTTAAAAAACAGAAACACTTTCTCTGTAAATAAAATTGTTACCACCATCAGACTGTACCAATATAAGTGGTTAAGTTTTTGGAAAACCTCAAAACTCAACAGTCTAGCACATAGCAAAAAAACATACATAATTTGGAACTTATTCCATCTTCAACCTCTTTCCCATGAAAAGAACATATGATGTCGAAGGGGCAGAAAGCTGTCCCAGATGTAACACATGCTTGTTTATAATACTACTATTGCTAAAGCTTCCAGAAAAAGAACCAGAAGGTCTCCAACAGATGTGGAGCCAAGGAGACTGTGTATGTTCCGGAAGGAAGCACTGATCTGACATGCTGAAATCTATGTTTCAAGGTATGCCGAGCCCATTTATTCATTTATTTTTATTTTTTCCAAGGGTCCATCCTCTCTTCATTGCTGTTTCTTGACAAGTCCTGCATTGTCCCCTAGCTGCTAAAGGCATTCTCAGCACCCTACCTGCCTCTTGGCTATCTCCAGTTAGCCTTCTACCCCCAACAGGTCTTACCAGTCCCTACTCCAGACAGGCTGTTTTTCCACCAGCAATAATCCTGTCTCAGGTACCTTCAACCAGAGACTTGACCCAAAACTAGATTGGTCATACTAACCATCTTTAGGTCAATAGAAATAGCTAGTTTTCTTTTAGACTTTCACAAAAATCTATACAAAGCTCAGTCAAAAAAAAAAAGATAGTTTTCTACACTCTACAATCTGCAGGATGCTATGCTAAAATACATACCGTAATAATTCAAATTCCAAGGATATTGATACTAGCATATAGGTATTTTCCTTAGGACACTGCATGAGTAAGCATGAAAAAAGATTCAAAAGATAACTGCTTATAATTAAATGCATATTTTTTGTATGGTCTCTCATTTCAGAATATGCCTTGATGGACCAGAACTCTTGACTTTACCTGCCAGTCTACAATAAACTAGAGCAACAGTAAAAAAGGAATGAGTATTGTAGAAATTAAATACACTTGATTTCTATGTGCAACAAAATCGCAGTGCTTACTTGTTGCAAAAAAACCCTCAATTCAATCAAGCAGACTGATGGTAGCACCCTTACATCAGATCTTCCACCAAGGTAAATAATTCAAAGGATAACTATGAAGAATCTTATAAAGCTTTTAATCTTCGAGAACTACAAGCTAAACATGTCTGTTGCAGGCACACTTAAAAGCTCAAAACACATATATTAAAATACAGATAATGATTCAGAAGTAACACAATAATATTATGGAAGTTACAGTTAAGCACATACTTAGTTTTTCTCTACAGCTCTTTTCTACTTTTGAATAACTTTGTTTCTAATAGCACACACTTGTTCACAAGCAACTTTAGTATTTCGTTTTCTCATGAAAAATACGCTATTTGGCAGAAAGTATTCCATCTCCTTTGCACAGTACCTAGTGTATTAAAAAATAACTTATTATATTAATGCTCACCTGCCGTGATGTCATCATCAACCAGATCATGCTCTTCTTCCTGAACTTTTCCCTCTGTTCCCAATGAATCTGGGCTTGCACTACCAGTTTGAATAGCTTCTGTGGTTACTCCAGCTGAAAGAAACAACCGGACACCCGCAAAAGTCAGTAATATTTGCAGAGAACATCCTTAGATCAGAAAAAAAGTCATTATCTTTTGATATTCTGAACCATGCAATGTAACTCTAGGAAACACAGATAAAACAAAGGGCAACTATTTTCTGGTTTCCCTTAATACTGTATGCAGATTTTTCACAAATCTACATTTTAAAAGTCTTTTCCACACTGTAAACATTTCTTTTGTATTTTCTTCTTTTTCTGCCATCTTCTAGCATCACTACAAATAGATACACATATTATACACTAACAACTTATTTAGCCACAAAATACAGAGTTCCAGCAGAACTTCTCTTACATCCCCGCTCAATACTTCATCTCTTGCCAAAAAAGTGGTGTTTTTCCAGATGACCTTCAGAGTATATTAATTCAGCTGACTCATTCCATGTCATTTGGGTTGGGATGCATCTGTTAGTTGCTATTAGAAACTACACAGTGCACACCAAATCATGCCACATAACACCATGCAATTCAAGTTAGAATCCACCAGTTATAATCTTTAATTATTCCCTATATGAGCCTTACCACAATTCAATCATTGTCAAAAGAAGTGTTTTGGTCAGGGTAAAAAAGTACAGTCTCACAAATAGCCTATCCAAAGAGCTTTAAGCAGACTGAAGGGATGCCCTGATACGATTTCTTTCCTCCCAATACATCTTCTATGTTAGCCTATACTATCACAAATCTTGTTATATGAAGAGGTTCCTGCTTTACGGACTGTGGCATTACACTTGCAATGCATAGCGGCATTAAGTCCCCATTATAAAAAAGGGCCACGGCCCTTTGCCAGCACCAACCAAATTTCAACAAGACATCAAGTCTCTGTAAATGGCTGCCTTGCAGACAGCCCTCCCTGACCAACACACACACCATGCAACGCCTCGGCACTGAGCGCTGGCCACTGTACCTGCTGCTGCTCCTCTTCTGCTTTTAGATCATCTTTATGAAATCATTAACATGCATCACCTCAGCTCTCAGTAGTTTTCATGTAATAACTTCCTAGTCTTCTCCAAACATATGAATGTGATTGATAAATGAAAAGATGACAGTATCTCAAGGGGGCAATCCTGTTGGCTGGGTACAGCAAGGTTTGTGAATCCACGCCCAAAAGCCATTTAAGTCTGGGTCATCTTTAAACCAGTTCAGAAACTTTAACATTCTCATGAGTATTCCAGATTTTACTTGTTTCAGTGCTGTTGTTAAATACTAAGTATTCACAGCAAAGTAATTACTTCAACACAGTGATTGTCTGACAGCAATTTCTAACCTTATTCTGGCATAACCTCTTTATAAAGAAACTAGTACCTTTTAATAACTTTCTGAATATCCATTTTGTTGTGTCAACACATATGGAAAACAGTGACAACAAATATACAACCAGATTGGAACACACTGCCGAATCAATAGCGTATCACTTCATTAAACATACTGGCATGACTGTACAGAGATCACATGCAATTACAAATTGCACATGAACCTTATTCAGGACACTTTTAAAAAATAAGGAGTTCGCTGTTACGGTGCAGCCGATGCAGCCCCTGGGCATCTCTCCCTGGGGTCTTCATCAGCATCCACACAGACATCAGGATTCCAGCACCGCTTTGCCAAAATACTTTTTGGTTTTCACCTTCAAGTTCCAACTATTTTCTAACACTACTATTTATTTGTATATACCTACTGGAGTCAGTCTGTGGGTGAAGGGGGAGAGAGGAGGTTATTTTTGAAAACACTGCTTTACATTTTGCATTACAGTTAGTATAAGCAGCTGCTAATCTCTGCAGGCACAGCAAGCATCTAGCTGTTCCCTAAATATCACTTTCATAGTCTAAAATTCTTTGATTCCTTTCCACACCCAGCCAAGGGTGAAGAGTTAGTGTGCCTTTTGAAAACTACAGTGTGAAGGCTCTGACTGCTGAGCTTTCATCTCCGAAGACCATTTTCTGTGGTTGAACATCCAAGTCGGTAGAAGCCAAGGGTCTAGCAGTCCCTAAACAGTAGGTTTAGGTTGGGCCGAAATTCAAAGCCTTTTATTTAGTTAGTTATCTCACTTTTTTCCCTGCTTTCTAGCCCTGGGTTGCTGTAAAGAGGCTGATTTTCCACATTAAAAGGTGCTACACCTTTCTAAAGAGCTTAGCGAGACTAGTTATAACTCAACTGAAGGACGTAAGTGCCTTTGCATGAGTTGATTCTAAGTACAGTGTATAAAAAATTAGAGAAGTTTCTTACAATTTTATACAATTAAAATAAAAGTGTAAATCAAAATCTATTTAATCAGAATGATTAAACATTCTCCAAAAGCCACCAAATGGATAAAGCCAAAAGGGGAGAAAAATAGCAAGCACACAAATATGCCAGGCAGTAAATAATCATTTCCTCTCAATGAAAAACCAGTAGGAAGGAACATGTTTTCCTGGACACAAGTGTTTTCTACATAATTCTCAAAAAATATCTTAGAAACACGTTTTAGAAGTGAAAAGATCATAAAACCCTGAATGTGTTAGAAATAAGCCAGATACTATTAAAAAATATTGAACAATTAAGATACAAGTGTATTAGAAACTTACACCATTATTACAATTCACTATTTACTACGTCATCCTAAACTCATTATTCATTGAATACATTAAAATGTTGCAGCACAAAATTATTTGCCTTACTTCTTCGTGCACTTTTAAGCCAAAACTTGCACAAGGAAAACGATCAGCCACATATATAAATAGCAAAGCCTTTGGGGTCCAATCAAACTATCCTTACTCAATGAAAACTCACATTTAAATCGATGGAAGTTTAATTAAGTTTTACTCAATTAATCTGGCTTTAAATAAAACTTTCTAACAGAAATATAAGCCTACCAGAAATACATTGATAAATAACTGACAATGGCATATTTGTTACTATAGACTTGTCATATTTATTTTGCTTTCCAGTGATAACATGGATTGTAATTTGAAGCAGTTGAGAGAGAGAGAGATACAATTTAAGGATATCTAAATTTCTTTAATTTTAATGCTGCCATATGTAAGATTTTCACTTAAAAAGAAACAGTAATTTGATTCAAACATTTACCTGAATGAACTGGGTTTTAGCAATATGGGAAGCAAGAGAAGTGTCTATACTGAATTTCTGGGCAGAATGCATTGAAAATGGGTTTCTGTAGAGACTGACCAGCACTGCCCGCACCCCGGCAGCCCGTGACAGGCAGCCTGCCTGCCTCGCATTAATTCACTCCACACTGCTCCGATCGATCCCGGGCAGCTCCCAGCCGCCACGCGCGCTGCCTGTCTGCCGGCTCCATCCGCATCCCACACACACACAAAGGCCAGGGCAAGATAACCTTTTGCTTTCCATTAAAGCCGTAGAAGCCCTAGTAGCCATTTTTCTATCTGCAGTAACATCACATATTTAAAAATATATCTGTCCTTCCAGGGCTTGGAGGACAGACCCACCACCGAGAGCCTGGAGGTGTCCCACTGCGCAGCGCCCCAAAACCGTGCCTTCAGTGTTTTAAGGTAACATTTACACTGACCAAGGTAAAATAAATAAATAAAAGAAATAAAACAGAAACACAATATTCAGCAAAGAAGTCCCTTTAAAAAGATAATTTAATTTACAGAATCAGTTTGATGCTGAAGTTTGATCCTGGCTCTTAAAAATAAGCAGGTAGAAAAAGGCAGTAGTATTTTTCTCTTTTTGAACTCCACCTGAAAACACGTCCTCGTGGCAAACGCCCCACAGACTATGTAGCGTTTCAGAAACAATCATATGCTGTGCAAATGAGGAGCAGAGGAGGCCACGGCAAATATTTACAGCCGCATGACATAATCTCAGTAGATACAAGATGAAGCTTTGAAAGCTTAACTGTTTTCCTCCCTGTGGGAGCCTGAAAAATACCAACACCTGCAACATCTCTCATAGGCTTAATTCACAGCATCACTTATACATCCATTCCCATTTGATGTGGGGTCAACAAGCTGACATGCCAATTTTGGATTTGAAGGCCCAAATAAAACAAAGATTTATTGTTCCCCCTACAAGGCATTGTGAAACGAAGCCGAAAGCGTCCGAACACCTGAACTGCAAATCGTGTGATGCAGAAGCCGCGCAGGCAGCTGTAAGCAAGCCGCTCGGAGCGGCGACAGCCTAACGGGGCCCATTCCAGGCGGTCCCCGCAGCGCCAGCTGTGGTGTGCTGGCAGACCCGCAAAAGAGAAAATAAGATCTGCTCGGCCCTCTCTCCGCTCCTCCACCCCACCATCTACGGGGGCACAATAATCTCTCTTGCATGGGTTAAAACATTATTAAGAGAGAACCCTGTGCAAGTTTGCATCCCTTTCAAGTCCTCTGAACGCTTTTTATGAAAACGCTGCGAGACATGCCAGTTGCTTGATCTGTACGAGTAGGGTCATGTCCCAAAATTGCTGTTGGATCTGAGCACTGAATATACAAATGGAGAAGAGATTTCATCTCTGTTTGCTAGAACTACACAGTTGATTCATTCAAGAGCCAATCAAATGCATATGACAAAGTATCTTGTATTAGCAGCAAGCTTCTACTAGTGATTATTGGTTGTTTTAATTAAAACAAACCTGTTAAGGTGTAATAGAAGCACTGTTTCTACATCATGCATCTGAGAACTATTGCAGAGTAATAACAAATACTGGACACAAAAATATGCCAATAATTTATGCCCCTATATCAAGAGGCAAAATTGGGAAAATTGGAGGATGAAGGAATCAAAGCAGTATTTCTTTATCTTTCATATTTCTTCTCTTTACCTTTCTAGCATAAAACTCTACTTTTCAGAAGTCCATTGCATCCATTTCGGCCAACCTAAATAATTCTTATAATTCCTTTAAAAACCATGTTACATTGTAAGACATAATTAACAAGTAACTAATATATACACCTCACTCTTTACCAACAACAGCAACATTTGTAGCTCCTCATTTTGTTTCTCCTTTCTGATATTGTAATTATTATTGCTCTTCAGACTGTCAGCATCTTTGTGTATGTTCATACAGACAGTAACGCTATTAAATGCCTTCTCAGCTCCGTCATTCAGGAGAACCACAGACTCTGTAACCTTAATTCACGTAGTTTTCAACACCATTAATATACAAAAAATTAATTCCAATTTGCTAGTCGTGACCTGTTTGAAAGGTTTCAATACCAGTGCTTTCACAATGTTGAACATTTACATTCAAGTCATTAATTCAGCCACGCTCAGCTGATTTCTCTATTTTATATTTTCTCCCTATGTTTTAAAACTTTCTTGTTCCAATAGATAAGCATATCCTAATTTAGTGTTAAAACAAATGCTATGCTTTGATTTGCTAATGGCTAACAAAGGTCAAAATACTGCTGTATGCATACTTGAACTGAATGCATACAAAATACTCAAGTTTTTTCTTAAGCCAGTTAGTCCCTGACCATTGCTATAAAAAACACATGCCATGCTTCTAACTCGATCACAAACATAAGCACAAGAGGCAGAACAAAATACTATGCTTCCAAATGATGCACATGCAAAACAGAACTGCACACTCTTACCTAAAACTTTCAAACGTAATTGTTTAAGTAATGAGGAGTACCAGAAATAGCAAATTATTGAAACTAATACGACTTACTGGTTGTTTTCAAGTACATTAAAAAGAAGTTTCTTTTTGGAAACAGTTAACTGGCTAAAGCAGGCACTACAGCGTGGTTTAGATACACTTCACCAACACAATTATGTCCATAACCTTGCACCCAACAAGGTCATACAGTATCAGTCCAGAGAAACGAAATTAGTAATCCTCAACAGTTGCGACAGCAGCTACTCCTGAGAGTAAAGGACAACTATAGCTGTCTGTACACTACAAACTGAGTTTAACCAACCTCAGAAGATGATCAACTAAAAAACACATCCTAACATACAAAATGGCAGAAATACCTATCAGTATGAATCAAGGCTCTTTGGCATGTATATACAACATACTTCTACTTATTATTCACTGCTTGGCTGCACATCTAACTCTGCAACACCATCCCCGTAATAAGGCAAATGCTACATGGCTAAAGGCTGTAATTAACAACAGCTTAGTCTTACCAACAAATTCTCAACATCACTTTAAAGTACCATGTTCCATGTAATTTATGCATTCAATTTAGATTTAATAAGACTATTACACATCTCTCAAAAATCAATTGGTATTTAATAGAGATCTTTCTCTGAATAGAAACTACATTCTTCAGTGGGAAAAGAATCTCATTTTAAGAAAAAAGAACACCTACAACTTAAAAGCAAACATTTTTATTCAAGAAAATATAAATTTTTACTGGTTTGTTATATACAGCAGATGTACTTGGACATTATTTTATAAAGGCAAGTGTCTAGTTGGATAACTGAATAGAGTATCCAATGACGCTGACAGGTCTTCCAAGAATATACTTTTATTGAGTGTGTACAACCTCTGCTTTAATAACAATGAATGAAATGAAAACAGGTATTTTGGAGAAAAATACAATAGATTAAATAGTGGTCAGTAGCTATTTAATTTATTTTGAGAATAATCTTTACTTAATATCTCCTTGCAGCACTTGGTAACCAATGGCTTTGAACACCTGACTGGGTAGGAGTTGCATCCAATGTTTAACAGATGCTGATGGACATATATTGCATGACCCTGCATTTGCTCTTTTCTCCTTTGATCCTTTCAGAATCTTTTTATAGTCTTGAGGTGCCAAAGGATGCATTGGTAACAGTTTCTATAATCTAATTATATATTCTTTGAAAAGTAATGTCAGTGTTTTACCACCAGTACTTTGTAATTTTATCAGCCCTTTCCATAGCAGGTTTCTTCCCCGAAACCTCCAAACTACAGCCTAGCCCCCCAACAGCAGGGGCAGCCTTTGCAAAAGGCACTCCACTCCCCATGGTATGTACTGAAGTGTTCGATTTACCTAATCAACATTCATGACCTTAAGTGATTTCAAGATTGTGAAATTACACTGAAAGTTTCAAGAAACTTTTCTATATAATGCTAGATTTTTCCCCTACGCTGTTCTTTGTACTGTTAATACTGTTAATACTGGTAGTACTGTTGATAATTTTGAGTACAAAATGCATTTTTTCCTTTTATCTAGCAACCAAGTTATTTTGAGGTTTAACACAGCACTACTTACGTGATATAACGCTGTCAATGTACTGCGGTAAATAAGGAGCCCAAGCATCAATGGTTTCTTTCCGACCTGCCTGCTCGATTCTTCTCAGTTCTGCTAGCAGCAAGGCCTGGGCAGCTTCTCTTACCTGTAAAGCCAATAGGAATGTCACACAAACTCAAATATCAAATATTTATCAGTATGCTTTCAGTATAATTAAGAAAGAACAAAAAGCACCACTTAAAAGAAAAAGCCTTAACACCTTAAACACAGAAGCAACATAACCATGAGTAGGACTTCCTCCCACTGTGACAACTCTCAACAGGACACAGCAAAGATGTGCAGCCCCTTGAGAAAACCAGGGGATGAACGTCACAACTCGGTCCCCGGCACGAGTGCAGTGCATAAACCAAACAGCTGTACCTCCTGCCGGCCTCCACAGACGTGCCTCTCGCAGCAAGGCAGAAAGACCGACCGAGGCCGTCGCCATCCCGTGAAGGGAACGGCAGCACAGATTTCTCACTCGGGGAAATAAGGCTGAACCTTATGTTCATGCTGAGGCATTGAAAGGCCACCAAAATTCTAGTTTTCTAGAAACAATTTGTGATCACCCTTCTCTACAGCATATCCAAAGTGCGGTCCAAAATTCCAAATGTGCAATAAGTAAAGACTCCTAAATGTCATGAATATTGCAATGTAAGAGCAAAACAAAACAAAAAAACCTCAAATTCTTTTTTCACATGAGATTTACTCATGTACTACATGTAACGGAAGACTGAACAATGAAAGCCAAGGAAAACATACATAAATTGTTTCTGAAAGTTTAAAAAAAAAAAATCTGTGTTTTTACACCAATATAAAATACTATCTTGTACTATTTGCCCCCATTAATAACACTTGTTCCACCTGAAGAGTTCATAAACACATATTCATAAATACATATGTTGTTTTCAGTCTGAAAGATTTAATGCACAAGGAAGTTAAGTTACTTGATCATGCTAAAATAAAAAATTGTGGACAAATGGAATATAAACACACTACCCTGACACCTAAGCATAACCAGTAACTGGACTTCTGTTGCTTACAAATTTTAATGAGTTTCAAAGTAATTACCCTCTCAGGAAACCATCTCTCATCATACACTATCTAGTAGAAGAACAGGCACTCAGGTAGCAAAAAACATATTCCCAATTCAGTTACAGGACCACTGAGGACTGACAGTCTACAGCCCAGCTCTGTTACTCCTTTCCTACTTGGGAAGTTGCACAGTCGTCAATTTTTTTTGCCACAACAGCACAGGTGTAGTGTTAAGGCCCAGTAGTCATTTATCAAACAGTTGGGTGACAAACCATTTACTGGCCACTGTACACATGCTCCAAAAAATAAAGCAATTCAGCAGTCTCTTGAAAAACATAGCCTAGTTTTTAATCCTAGTAAAATTCTTAATGGAATGCTGAAGGTTTAATCCAATAATTTCTTAAAACAAACATGTACAGCATTCAGAAGGAAAACACTCCCATATATATATTTAGACACGATTGCTTTTTCAACATAGACTGGTTAACGGGAAAATTAACTTACTGACTCTGAAAAAAACCTGCAGGAACTTGTGTCAGAAATTAATTGTATTTTTTTTTATATCAAGGGAAAATGTGATCAGTAAAAAACAACATAAAGCCCCAAAAACCTAGCAGTACAAAATCACTACTGAAGTCACCTCCAAGCATCGATCCTGCCACCTGCGAGCCAGCATCTCCAGAAGAGGAGGTCTGAATTTATCCAGTCCCAACAGGTCAGGGAGCATTACACAATGCATAGCAGCGAGCTGGCTCCACCCTGTTAAAACACATCACAACAGGAAGATAAACATAATAAAACACTTAAGCAATTTTAAGTTTAAAATGCTATCAAGTAAATTTACATTGGCCACTGGCCTGGTATGCAGTAGGTCTTATGAGAAGGTGGGAGAAAGAGGGAGAGGAAAAAAAAAAATAGAACCAATTTCGCAGCAGAACAACAGAATTGTTTCCCCTGCCGTGGGAACCCGGGGCTCACCCCATCTTTACAGATTCCAGCTGACCTCAGGGCAGGCTGTACAGAGCATGTGCTTTCGGTATCGAACAGGAATGAGCTCCTCCAGGCATAAATCATGCCTCATGAAGTAGCTGATCAGACCTCAAACATGTGCAAGGGTCAAGAGAGACATCAGCAGAAGACTGCCTGAAGTCAGTCCTGATTAAACACAGACATCCCTCTTCCTCCCCACCTCCTCTCAAAAAGACTTCAGTATCTAGTGGCATGCTTGGGTTTTAAACTTGCAGCCTTAAGAATATATTCAACATACATACTAAACACAAAAAAGTCCCTAAAAGTATTATGGATGATTTTTTTCAAAAGCATAAGCCACGGTTCTGAGTTCAAGACTTAGATGCCCTGTTCAAACCATAATTAGCATTACTTATCATGATTTTTAACGTCCTACATGCAAGTGTGATATAATTCAACTACAGAAAACTTAGCATATGAATTACCACTAGAAAGACTCCATAGAATTTTCTGTCCTGTTTTAAAAGGTATGCAAGTATGAACAAGTGCACATTTGTCCGCTTTCCTTATTTTTCCAGCTATATGTTACTTCAGCATACTTACTTCAGGTACGTTCATACTACAAGTCTGCAATATTCTGTAGTTAAAACCAGTTAAGATAAGCATATCAAGCTCAAACAACATAGCTTGTAAAAATGCTTGTGAAGTACTCTAGGCAAAAGAATTCTTTTAGTATTATGCTCTACATTGACTTGAGAAACTGGCAAAATACTTCAGGTGAGCATATAGATCTATATTTTTAAATGGTCAGCAATACTGAGCATAAAAATCTAAACATTTTCACTAATAAAGCTGTTCATGGTGCTACAAGAAAAGAAACATTATATCAATTTTCCTTAAAGAAAAATGGATTAAAAAAAGGAATTTCCAATTTAAAAGAGTGCTGTTTCTACTACTTGCGATGCATGAAAGCAGAAATTTATAGCTTAGTAATAAGGCATAAAAATTCTGATTTAAAACAACTTGCCTACAGGGATACAAGGGCTTTTTGTTTGCTTGTTTGTTCTTTGTGCCAATCTTCTGGGCAGAAGAAATCCTTCATAATGTGGATAAATATTTATTAGAAAAAAAAAATAATCCCAAAAACATAAGCCAAGTGGTTCAAATAAACACTAAGTTTCCATAAACACCAAAAAGAACATTTAAATGACACAAAACTGATTCTGTTTCATTAAGAGGAGCATTAAATGTTTAGTCTTTCCATTTGTTAGCTGGTCTACAGTGTTGGTGCTCATTCATCTCAGGAGTGGAAGACCCATCCCATGCTCATCCCAGCAGGTCTTCTGCAGGCTCTACAGGGGGCTGGACCTTCATGCGGAGAAGCAGCACTCGCACCCACTGTGGGGAGCCAGGACATGGCACCAGCGTGGAACACACCGCATATATTGTGGCTTCTCTCCTGCACATACGACCTACCGATGGGTAAAGGCACGTGTATTTTTCCCTACTTAAAAAGGGCTGAGATTTTTTTGTCAAAAGACAACAGCAAACCCAAACAAGATCTGAAATATCTTTGATACACTAGTTGAGAACTGAATTTACAGACCAGCCACGACACACAAACTAGATCTGCTCACCCTCTGCCAGCATTAAAGGCAAAGTACAACCCCCTCCCCCCTTGCCTCTCTTTTTTGCAAAGAAAAATTCCTACATAGATCAAATTAAAGTCATGTCGTAACAATGATAAAGGACATTAGTTGAAAGTAAAAGACAAATAGATAGAAAAGTGAGGAAAGAATACCTTCATTGACTAAGAAACAGGTATGTAAAGTAGGAGCAGTGTCAGAGCCAGAGTGACCAGCTTCAGTGCTAGAAGAAACAGCAGGAGCAACTTGCACAGGAAAGAAGGAGAAATAAAGAGAAAAAAAAAGGAAAGTGAGGAGAGCAGCTTCTGAAAAACAGATTAGTATCACTGAAGAATGAAAAACAAAAAACTGGAGGAAACTGATAATACTAAACTTAAAAAAATTCTAGGTTTTACAAGAAGTGCAATGCCAGTGAGAGGAAGACATGCAACTGCAGAGAAACACAGATACACTAACAGAAATTTGCATGTTTTGAAAAGACAAAAGTACCTGTAAATAAAGAGATTACAAATGTGTCTCTAGATAGCTAGATTTGGTTCGACGGCACGGTTGACTATGAATTTTAAAACCAGGAGTTTCACTGTTTCTTCCTTTGCTTTTCCCATATTTAGATAGGTTTGGAATTTGCAGTACTCATCAATAACCCCAGAAATAACCCCTTTTAAACCTGGGCTGTCCCATCTGTCACTCTAAAATGTCACCGAATGTATTACCGATGGCTAGTTTTAATACAGGTTCATTTTAAATGTGTCCCCATTCAAATAATTTTAAGCCTATACCAAAGAAAGGACTAAGAATCTAAAGCAGAAGCACACAAAGCGTACAGTGTTATGACTACAGGCAAGCAAATATAGAAAAGCACAGTTCAAGCAGTATCTGTGACATTTATTTTGTAAACTGCACCATATCTTGGTGCAAATATAATTTAAAAGCAGTTCTTAACATTATGCTTCCACTAATGCTTCATGACTTAATATTATCACATGAAAAGATGCGCAGACCTTATGGCATACACATGCTACAGCCTGAGGTCAACATGGAGATTTAGAGGTCACTATCTGACACTTCCTTCCTATAGGGAAATTACCATATGTCATGCACAAGTATCTTCAAATTAATCCTCCTCTTTTATTCCGTTGCAGAACAACAATGGGTTCAAGCTCCGGAACCGATTAAGCACTGTCTTCTGAATGTCCTGTTTGCTTTTCATGCAGTGAACTTCTTTTGTCACTGTGGGACATCTGCATCAAAACTACTTTTTCCATACTTTCCGCACAAATGCATCATGATGGCACGTGTACAGTGACGGGACAACTAGCGTAAATCACCTCATGACAGCAAAACCTGCTTTCAATAGACATATTAAAAAAGCTATTTATTTTATGAAAAAAGTGTTTATAAAAACACGAACCCACCCCGTACTGAAACTGAAGTCTTACTCTGAAGTTCCTTTTTTGCCTTGTTTTGTTGTTGTCAGCTCTCTTCCAACATCAGTGATTACAAGTCACTGTACTGGAAGCAGCTGGCCCAGTAGCTGAGTAGCCCAGAGCTGTGCTCAACTCAGGACAAACACAGGTCAAATTGACAGAGATCAAGCATGTCATAAAATGCATTAATTGTATCTCTAATTGATTTCTAAGAAAAATAGCACTAGAAATTTATGAGTAGCAAGGTACTGCAAGTAGTGTACAATGAGGAAAAAAAAGCTAAGACACCAAGAAAACTTATGACCTCAGAGTACCACTTAGAAACAAACCCATCTTCCCCCACGAGCATGCAAGACATGCCACCAGGCAGAGAAGACAATGACAATTCAGGAACAGGAGTATTTTTCCGTATTTTTGACAGCACACAGAATTTCATTTTTATCAATTGTTTCTCATGAAGTTAGAAATATTTCCACCAGGTAACTAAAGTATGTCTATCCCCAAAATTAGCAAAGCTATTTCAAAGAGAAGTCACATAGTTATCATTCTGGAAAGAAAAACCATAATGAACTATATATTTAAAAACGAAACACAGACCCTCTCTGTGATGAATATGTTTTCTCTTGTATTGAATTTGCCGTATAGACACCATCTCTGAGAAATCCTGACCTTTCAAATAATTATCTCCCAATGAGGAAATGTAAATGGCTGTAAAACACCCAAAACAAATAAACAAAAAAGCCCCACATGTTGAGACAAGAGCCCTTTTTTTTTTATTCCTGCTTTTTGTTACCCACTGCTACTTCTCTATTTATACAGCACGCTTGATCACAAAAAAAAACTTGATGCATACCACTCCTGAAACTGATTTTCCCTTTCCAACCAGAAATCACAGTAAATTAATATTTATATTTAGGAAAAGAATAATTACCCACAAATGTTGCTGGTGCACAAGTTCCCTCCTCAGATATAAACATCACCCATTTTTGCATGTGAGTGAAGAAAATCACACAGCTGATATGTTACCTGTTGTGCTTACTAGCTCTCTAATACAGGAGCAGTTCCACAGTTTAAAGATATATTTAAAGATGTACATACATCATTAAAGATTGTACGTTGTGGTAAATGCCACAATGACAAAGTATTTGTATGCTGCAAAATCCAATAATTTTACAAATTGCAAGTTTTTCTGTATTCATATAGCTTGAAAAGTCTTTAATTGTTAAAAGTTAAAAATAAAAGACAATTGCAATTTTCAAAGGAAATTTCAAATAAGTCCTGAAGGATATCTGCTTTGTAGATTGGTTAAAAAGAGAATCAAACACATTATCGCAAAAAAAGAAAAACCTTCTGTCTTCTGCCCGACAGTATATGCACACAGCTGGGGTCACACCCACAAAAATCCCGAAGAACTGTAAAAAGAGCAATGATGTGTATACCTTTCTTCTTTGTTTTATCATACAGCAAACCATGCATGACAAAGGTTACAAAAATATGTTCTCCTCAAGCCATAAACAACCTTCACCTGGTCCCATGTGGATTTTACTCCCCTGTTACCCAGCGGGTAAGTCCTGCCCCTCTCTTTCAGGCACCACGGGCATACCACGAGCCTGCACCGGCTGCCTCCAAGAGTCACCCCACACTCTTCCCAACAGTTCACTTGCTCCTGAGCCAAGTCAGAATTGGCCACGTCACTGTGGTTTACAGTTACTTTATTTTTGGCATTGAGTAGCTCATTTGCCCCACCAAACAGTGGCTCTGCTTTAGAGGAGGAGCAGGCAGGTGCCTCCTCCTCCTCCTCCTCCATCTCTCCAGTCCCAGCAGGACCATTTCCATGTGCTCCTACTGCTCGGATGAAGCTCTAGTCCCTGCTTGACTCTGCCCCAGTGGAAAATTCACATTTAATCTTGTGTCCATCCTTTTTTTACATCACATGTTGTTCTACTTCTTGTACTTAACCATTATACTCGTGAAAGGAAAGATACAGTGCAGACTATTAAAGGATCCTTCAGTGTCATCCACTGCCATCTTTCGTAACCGCACGTGATGAAATAGCAGCAGTGGTAAAAGTAGCATTAAAATAAAATTATTTGTTCCTCCTTCATAAGAAGGACAGGAAATGTATACATACTTAAGATGCGTTTACCTTTATGCTTTAGTTTATAACATTCAAAACCATTTTTGTATTAGTCTGTATAGCCCTTTGTTACAACTTCAAACCTCTTACCATCACCTCAACACCAGAATATTTGGGAGCACTTAAAATATGCAAAAATTCATTGTCAGGGAATGACTTCATGACAGTATCAGCATCTTATATTGATTCTTAAAAAGGTCTTAGTCATTAAAATTTTTATCTAGGATATTACACTACTTTTTACTCCCACATAGAAGCTAGAAATACTTTTATCACTTGATAGTAAGGCAATAACTTCAATGTCAAGAGCTGAAATGACATATCAAACGGTTCCAAAGCAAGTGATTTTTTACCTTGCTTAATTTGTCCTTGTGCTGCATGACTTGAAATTGAAGGGGGTGCCTTCACTTTTGACATCTCAGGAGTGCCTGGCCTAGGTGGCCTAAACACAAAATGTACATCAAGGGGAAGAAGGAAGAGAATAGGGGAGAGAAAAAAAAAGATTATTTGCTAAAGATACTGTGACTAAACAAACTTTGAAAAGCAACCCTGTAAAAACCAGCCAGATTGGGAAAAAAAAAAAATCTCATTTACAATTCCTAGGCAAGCTTATACTTTGGTGATTAAAAAGTTCATCTCAACGTACTGATTTATTTAGAATTTGACCTCCTCATTATAAAAACGTTTTAAAAAGAATAAGCACTAAAAAGGAGGACAAAAATGGCCTCTCAGACCTGCTGGCACATACATTAATACAACTCCATATTCTATTAATGTTGTAATTTTTGTAACTCAATTCAAACCAATATAGTTATTGTGGCATAAAACAATACTACATTCAAGAAAGAAGAAATACACTCAACTCCATCTAGGTACTAAAGGTTTCCATAGCCATTTCATACATCAAACCCCACAGTAAAATTAAACAAAATAAAAGACTGTATTAAAACAAAGACTCCGAAAGAAAGTTATCACAAGTTGAAGTGAACATATGCCATACCTGGTTGGACCTTTCTTCATGTGGTCTCCAATAAAGGTTGCATTGGTCATACTCATCAGTGTGTTGGCCAGTGAGATAACAGACAGGAGATGCTGAGTCGTGACAGCACGTGACACACCATACGTCCCTTTTCCCAGTCCTTCTGTAAGGGACATTTTCCTTCCTAACTCCATGCTATCATACGATGGTTTGCCTACTGGCTGATTATAGCCAGGAAGCATCAGAGACATGTGGCCTCCTCTGGACAGGAGGCCAAAAGACACTGAACAGTGCGGCTTAAGCATCCCAAGACGATCAAGGCAAAGCTCATCTAGAACAGAATTCAGGCCCCAGGCATGAAGACAGGACATAAAAAGCTTTGCTGTATCCATGGTTAGATTGTATTCTAATAAAGTTAATGGTTTAGATTTGCTAGAGCGATATTCTGGATCACCGTCTTCTCTTCTCTGTCTTACCGATTCTTCATCCTCATCTTCATCATCAAGAAGATGCTCTTTTATATTCTCTTTGATTGTTTCCTTGACCTGCTGGAAGAGGACGGCTGCTCGTTTACCAGTCAAAAAGGACCCTCCTTTGTCAGACCCGCCAGAGGCTTTCTGTAAATTCTCTGGAGAAATGAGCGCAGTGTTGGGCCTGGAGGCCTCCTCAGTCAGTAGCTGAATAATCAGTGCTTCTACATCAAAGAAGAGCACGTGTATATCTGGATCTGTTAGGTTAGTTTTTATAGCTTGAACCATCAGGGAGTTATGTGAATATTTAGGTAAATTCCCCTGGAAAGAAAAATAGAAAAAAAAAAAATTGAAATTTTAATTGGATTACTTTTTTCCCCCCATGAAGTTAATTCAAAAAATAAGGAAGATCTGGATGATCAAAGTTTGAAAACTTGCATAAGTATAAAACACGTTATGACAAATGTTTTGAAAACATCAGTGAAGAATTTTACAGCACTTTTCACAGTGTCAGGAATTTCAGACTTCTTATCAGTTTATGAGATAAATAGAGCTCTAGATAAAACAGAGGTTCACATTTTTTTCTCATGAAATCTAAAAGAAAAGTTATACTCCAAGAAACAATAAAATTTCAATATTTTGTTATTAAACTTAAAACTCATTAAATATTTCATATTTGGATATGGAAGTATAGCATCAATTTATGCCATTGAAAAAGAAGCTACTAATAAATTTGTCCAGATATGCAAATAGTGTGTCACTTTTCACTCCACTAAAGTCCACCTTCTTTTGTCCTTCCCTTCCTCCCAATGGGGAGAGGCGGGGTGGGCTGGGGAGGAAAGAGCAAAGTAAAATGCTAAGGGATAAAAGCTGAAAAAAGTCAGAAAAGGGGATTGGACAAAAGAACATTAACATAGGTTTTTAAGTACTGTGAGAATTTTATTCACTCCATAAGCAACACAGAATTATGCTCAAGTACTTAGTTTCCTCAAACAAGTGAAAAAGAAACTTTTAACAGAAATAAACCTTGTTCAAATGTAAGTCAAGTATTATTTCTCCTTTTTTACAATTTACTTAACGGCTTGAAAGACTTAAGGTTGAATATGCATGTTTGATGCACGGACTTACAAAGTCAGAGCAAGACAAACCTGCAGGAGAAGCAGTCACTAGGTTCAGTGATGAAGAAGCATTCCTGATGCCTGTATTAGTCACTGCGGAAGTTAAACCCCGTGCTCAACCGACAGCTAAATCTAAGGGAGCACATAAAAACCATCACCTTACACAAGTCTAAGAAGGGCTGCAGGAGAAATGGTGTTTTTTCCACAACTGATACAGGCTAAATGGTTTGTTCAGAAAACATCATCCTTTACTGAAGTTAGAAACGATCCAGAAGTTCTTAATATATCACCAATAAAAGCAACACAGCTAAGGGCTCCTAAATCTTTTCTTATCCATAACTCAACAGCCTTAACATTAATATAAACTCTTTCAGTTTGGTAGGCTCTCCAATTTCCATTCTTTATGTTCTTTTTTAAACCACAAAAGCACATTTTACAGCAGGATAGTTTATTTAGAAATTAACAAAGCTTGCAGCTTTTATATATACAGTGTATATATAGTTACAAATAGGTATGCCTACATATACACACATACACAGACTATGCAAATAACATACATGTTACATGTAACAAAAATGTTAATATTCTGTATACATACACAAACTGGTAATAGGTTTGTACCCTGTTCTATGTACCTGCTGATATACTGCTTCCTTTTTTCACTGACGTAAAGCAACACGCACCTGTTATGAAGCCTTAAATACTCTGGGCTATAGGAGCGGTCACCACTGAAAATCTGCTGAGCTGTAAAACTACATTATTTCTACCAACATCCATTGGTAGAATCTTGCGTTTTTCAACCCTTTTTATCCTACTTCTGAACACTAACACATGTTTATCACCACGAATCACGGAAACAGATGTATATTCTACTTAACATCCTGTAATTGGAAAATTGGATGTGCATACGTACCATTTATTTTCTCTCAAGGACTTTCTTTCAAGACAGTAAGCGTTTCTAGTCCTACAACTACTTGGCTGCTTTAAGTTTTGTACAAATTTCACAGCATGTGTTTGAAAACTGGAGTAACTTTTTTATATTCCATTTCCTTTATAGCTTTAAAGACCCCCAAAATGCTGTTAACATGAAAGAATATAATATCTAACACACCATGTTCAGTTATTGGTCCAGTGTATGAACCTGGCTTTGAAATAAGCATATTATTTTAATTCTCAAGGTTCTCATGCACACAGATTTCTCTCTTGTAAAGCACTCTGCTTTTTCTGTGGCCATGGGTTACTGTATAACCCTGAACAATGTGAGATTGCTTTTTACAGTAAAAATCTTCACAGGAAGAATTGGCCCCTCCAAAGTTTTACATGAGCTTTATATTTGGAAGCCGATCTGTCTGAAAGAGGCTCTGTTACCCTGAGCAGCTGATGATCCAGCCACAGCTTCTTTGCAATTCATTTCGGAGTGCTACTTTGGAGCAACTCAAGAATAACCTCTCTCCTTGACAGTTTCACACCAAGACGCCAAGGAAAAAAAAAAAAGAAAAGAGTAAAAAACTGCTCCTTTAATCCTGTCTAAACATAATACACTGGAAGTGTATTTATCTAAAACAATCCACTATGTTAGTCTTAATTGATATTGTAATCTTCATTTTTCTACCACATTAATACTTTATTTCATCTATAGCCTCTTAATTTCAGATTGCTAATACTTTGCTTACTTAGAATGAATACCCACGTATATTTTACTGCATGGTGTCGAAGTAGAGAAGAGCAAGTATAATTACTGGTTTGCTTGCTGCACTCTCTAGTTCTTCCTGACTTTCAGAGGATGACTCTCAACACACACACATAAATATTTTACATTATTCCAATGCACTCGTTTTGTAAAGAACAAACAAACCAGATACAAAAAGCACATGTACAGAGCAATATTCAAAACACATCAAAAGACTCTCCAAAAATGCAATACAGACCTGGCAAAATCTTCAATACCAACTGCTATTCCGCTAGAATCAAGTAGTTTTTAACTTCTGTCTGTCCTCACATTACAATTAATTCACTTATGTAACTAAGTCAAGGCACTACCAGAAGGAAAATTCACATTTGGTCACAGGGATTATGAAAGGAAAATTAAACAGAGGCCATCCTTCTCGCTCTCTGTTCTTACATTTCTCGGAGGAGCTGCAGCGCTGGCTCGCTTGCTGCGCCAGCCAAGCAACCAGGGCCTAACGCAATCAACACTAGCACAAATAGCCACATGCTGCTCCTTTCCCTGTGGTCAACTGGGAGAACAAATAAACTATGCTTCTTAAATAAATTTGCCATGAAAAGCAAATAATAGAAACCAGAATAATTAAGTGTCAATAAATAATAGCTGCAAATTATCTTCTGCAACGGACTGATTTAGTCACATATTCCTTATTTATTTTTAAAAAAATCTAGGTTTTTTTCTCAGAATGTAATGCAGGTAATTTCTTATGAAATGGTGTCTGGTGATGGTCATAATGGTAAAATTAGAAGCAACAATATAAGCAAAATATTTTAGCTATTGATCATCATTGACCTCTGGTATAGAACACACTTTGCTGTGCTATGTATCACGCCTTTGTAGGCAGCAATACCTCCATTAAACATGAGGAACCTGCACATAAAACACATACATTTGCACAGCATGTACAAGTGCAACATTCATACTTATGTACATGAACAGTCAGGAATAGCACATAACATATCTGTAGAAACACGATGGTGTCAAAGTGACATTTCTTTTCCAAGCAGAATACAAGGGAAGAAAGCGAAATAAATAAACAAGTGATAAAAGCCCATTCGGGAGCAGAGCTCTGCTGCTCTCTGCTGGTCGCAGCCCAGGCGACCAGAACATTAGAAGTCTGCATTAATGGGAAGGAAAAGGGAGAATACAAGCTCTTTTTGCTTGAACTCGGGTAACATTTTTGAGTGGCATTGATAGACTAAACAAATTTATTACCTGTGTACTCTGACAGGTCTTTATTAGGAAAAAGGTTATGATGAAGGGTAGAGTGCTGGAATCATCAATAAGAGCAAAGGTAAGCAGGATGCAGTTACAGAATCCCTTAAGGTTGGTGATCCTCCAATCCAACCCCTGCTCAAAGCTGTATCCACTAGGGCAAGTTGCTCAGGGCAAGGAAAGCCTCTTTCTTACTTCTCTAATATGCCACTCTAAGGATTTTTTACCCTAGTTTCCTTCAAGATAATTTTGCACTTCCTTCCATTAATCTTTAACAGAAAGGCAAAAATCTAAAAGTCAGGGGTCATATTTTTTCTGTGAAAAAGCTCATAGAACCCTCACAAGGTCAGGACTTACCTTTTCTCTGTATTTGGCCAAAACAAAAATGCATGATGCAAAGCCCAAGAGAATGGTCTTCCTTAAAGCTCTCTGACGATCTGCACTGACATGCTGTTGAGCCCACCAGCTAAACTACCATCACTGTCCAGCTATTGCTCTAACATCCGAAAATACATTATGGTATTATCAGAAAGGTCTGCTTAGCAGAGTTCTTAATGAAAAGCATTTACTTATTCCTCAGATCAGCAAGCAGCCTGTTGTTGTAGTCAGTAACATCGATATAAATTGTAAAGTTGTGTTTTCTAAATGAAGACACATAACTTTAAAAAGTCCGTAAACATTAAGCATTGAAATATTTAGGAATCAGCTAAGCCCATTAATATCTTTTAGCATTAAACACTTAAAACATTTCCCAAACCATAATTAATTTTCAGCATTTAAGTTATTTTGGCTCTATTTTTATCTATTTGTACATATATTTTAATAATACTTTTTCTGAATTGTCACACAGCAGCAATTACCAAAATGAAATAAAATCAAGCTCCAGTTCCACATTTAGCAAGACCTGCAGGAACACATAAAGCATGTCCAATATGGGGGGAAAAAGGGGAAAACAACATATCAATGCTGATTCCATTCCTCAAAGTTAGCACAAAACAAAAGGGAGAGATTTGCTTCTGATGGATATGGATCACAGGCTGGTTTCCCTGTGTACCCATCAATACCATAAATTAACAGGACATACACAATTGAACAAATAGTCTCGATTCTATGAAATGCTACTAAATCCAGATTTTAAATAAATTCAGCCTGAAAAAATACAGAGGAGCACACACCGAAGTGCTAAGTAGCAGGCTGATACTTTTTGTTCAAGGATAGTGAACTCCTGAGACTGACCCCAGGCCAGGTAAAGCTAGTTTAGGTCTTTATTAAAATTTCAGAGAGCATTGGATAAGACCCTGTCAGTTACAACGATGAAGACTCCCCATATTTTATTCAATTATTTATGGAAATAGATGTTCCAGGTGCTGCACTAAAAACAAACTGAAACACAACTTACCTTGTCAGACGCTTCGGAAGCGAGCAGGTTAGTGGCAAGAGTCTGTAGTTTCTGATGCGCCACGTTTTTCAGAGCAGCCAGGCTACGCCTAGTCATGGCCTGCTTCAGGTTGACGGCAGGATGGCTCAGGGAATCCACAGCCGCTGGGACTGCCTCATCACAGGCATTCAAGATTTCCACTGCTGTTATTCCCATCACACACCTGTCCAGCGCACCTATTTTGAAAAGCAGAAACAATTCAGAATGCCCAAAATATCACAAGTACAGCAAAAGGCAAAAATAACATATACTACAGGGTGCAATGCATAAAGTTTTCCATTGTGTTAGCAGCTATTTTTAGAACTAATATTCCAAAAGGGATGGAATTCTCCTAAATTTCCATGAAGCTGAAGTGCGTAAGGAAAAAACACATTAACAAAAGTCAAGTTTGAAAACCCCACAGTATGGTTCTGTACTGACCAGAGAGTAATGACTGCAGTTGTTCAACATTTTTAGTGGAAGGCTGTTTTCAATCATTTCGATTTCCCTCTCCCACCCAAACACCTGTGTGGATTAAATTTTCCACGATGGATCTCAAGTTCCTCTCTGCTTCCTAGAGCTTCAATAAAAAACAGTTCTCACCTAATTTTCACAATAAGGTGAAAGTAATATTCAGGCATTATTGCAGGTTTGTGGTTTTTCCTTAAGTGAGTTAAGGAGTTAAAAGGTAATTATATACTGCATACATTTTGATACATTTTTCCCCTCACTTTCTCCCTTTCAAATATCACAAAATTTTCTACAACAAAGCTGTTTTTATTTTATGCCTTGTTGCTCATTCTGTTAAGGCTCATTTTTAGTTTTAAGAAAAACTAGGCATTAGTCCCTTTCTAAAAAAAAAAAAAACACAACCAAAAAACACACCACACCAAACAACAAAACCCAGACAAACACTTTCTTCATTCTGCAGATGAGGTAACTATCGTAGATTCAAGGTGTTGGACTTACACACCAAGCTTTCAAGAAAATTGCTGAGGAAGCATAGACACTAACAAACTGAGAGGACATTACACGTGCAGCCAACATTAACTAGTGTCTCTAAAGATAACTAGGAAAACATATAGAGGGAAGATAGCCACAGCAAGCTATACCTCTCCAAAATTAAATAAGTTATTCCAAATACTAAAATATACATTTAACAAAAGCTTACATAATCTACAAATTTCAGGAATGTGTGGAGTGCTAAATTTCCAAATATAAATGTGCAAAAAAATTTAACTCTTCTCTCAGATGCAACTTAAACAGAACTATAACCATATATATATATATTAAAAAAATTGTTTAATCAACATCTTTGAACTTAACCTTACCAGTATCCATTTGCCAGACATAGACAGACCCATCTGAACATCCTACCACCAGATAGTCATCGGAAGGCCTCCATTTTATTACTTGAATAGGGAAAAGGTGACGGGATGCCAGCATGATGCATTTTTTCTCCCGCAGACTCAGAAGGCCTACTGAGTGATCACTGGCAACAGAGCAAATACAGTGCTGGACTCTTGCCTAATAAAAGGGGGGAAAAAAAAGAAAAGAAATGTTAACCATAATGCAGAGTTTGCATTTAATAGTCTCTTCTTCACTGGACCAAGCATGGTGATCAACAACCTATTTTATAAACAAGAAACAGGCTCATAAGTCTATGGCTAAACTCATTGAGGCCACTAGAAACAGAATTTCACTTGCAGAAACTCACTTGAATCCCATCTCTTGCACATCACTAAGAGCAAACAGGTACTAGAACCTGTTTTGTTGAACAGAAAAGAGAAAGCACCATTTTCAAGTAAATCAATGTCATTTTGTTCATTAAATTCTACCGACTCATCCAAGTTAGGAAAGACAAAATTGCCTTTAAAACCTATGGGCTGACCGGTGGGGAATGCTTGCTTATTACATGCTCAAACACCTTCAGGGAAGGACTACTTCTACATCATGGAAATCCCCTCCCACTGTTAATGCTGTATTTGATAAAATGCCAAGCATTTCCTTCACTAGCTAGGTTTTGCTACTCAGTTTTCTCCACTGCTTTTAATCCTTTATGTAGCTAAAACATGATGCGAACAAAACCAAGATTAAAAGAACAATTAAACTCCTTTTAAGTGTCTGCAAGAGTTATACGTTGTGACAGTACTAAATCTTCAGTATTTCATATTACACACATTATCGAGAAGGATCTGAGGAGTTGTACCATTTATGGAAAGTGAGACAGGTTATCAGACATATTATGTAAAACTTACACTACAGTTTTCTGGTGGAACTAGAAGTTGTGTGATTTCTCCACCATGTACACAGAAGATATGTTTCATCTCTCCAGAAAATATATCCCATATGATGACTGAGAAATCCACACCACCCGAGATCAAATACCTTTGATCATAACGAGAAGAAACCTGATGAGGATACAGTAAACAAGTAATTTTGTTTCGGTGGCCTCGGAGAGTCCGGTGAGGTGGCCAGCCTGTGAAATTGGGTAAGGGGTGGTAGGGGGAAAGAAAAAAAAAAAAAAAAGAAAAACAGAGGAAAAAAAATATAATTCAATAGAACAGTTAACAATCCAAAACACTGTTCTTGATAAAAAAAATAATACAGACATACTGCAATTTCTGACAGAGTTCTTATAGAATTAGGCCTGTCTTTTTTTTTAAATGTTCATAGTTTTTTTTACTGCACATGTACCAAATAATTCCTTTTGTCTTGCTGTACAATCTCACTTTAAAGTAATTAAGCTGTCTTAAAACAGCCTCCTGCAAAAAATATCCCAGAAAAACAAATAATTTAAAAAGGCCACAAAGATATGAAAAATAAATTTCCTTCCCCATCACAGATGACTTTATCCAAAGCTGTAACCAAAAGGACCAGTACCAGCAAAATTTCATAGTCTTGTTCTGCACAGCCACAACAGTAGCATGCAAGTCTGCAGTGTTGTGCTTTTGGTGCTTGTGCAGAACAGGTTAATGACATCAATTCTAAATTTAAAAAGGAAAATAGTTTTTGTGAACACAGAGCAAGAATGGCGAGTCTTCTGTTCACTGAGATCAAATACAATAGTAAAATCATTCTCATTCTAACCTTTTAACTATTGCAAAAGATGCTTAGAAAAAATGTCTTCTTTAGATGGCAAATACGACAAAAAGGGCCCAGTAAATTAAATACCAGCATCAAGTATTCTATGCAATACCTGCATGGTATAGCTTAACTTTTTTCTTCTATGTGATTATGCTTTTTAGCAGGCACAGCAAAGCTTACGTAGAACACGCACAGGTACTTTTGTATCTTTATGAGGGTATGAACCACCAATGCTTATTTGCAGAATAATGTATCAACTTCAATGCAATTAAACTTCACATTAAGAAAAAATCATTTTTGTATAAAGTTATGTAGAGTAAATCAGTTATAGAAAGGAAACAGTACAACAAACAGCTTCATATATAACTGACAAGCTCATAGGTATATTTACAGAAATATATTTACATGTCTTTTTCATTTATCAGCATTTGTAAAAATCAAAACCCAAATATTTGTTCTGCAACTATGATCACAAAAGTATTATAACAACATTATATGGAACCAAAATATACAAAAGCAGGCCAATGCATAACACTCAACTAACCACAAAATACACAAAGAGGAATTCTCTTTCAGATGCATTATTCTCCCAATGAAGACACCCCAGCTGAACGCAGTGCCAGAACTATTCTGGAAGAGACAGGAGATGTCCCGTGCCACATCTTTGCTACTGCATTTCAAAAACCCAGGAGAAATATCCAAGGCTTTCCAGTGAAGGGACCACCCCTCAAATTGATGCAAGCTGGCCACAGTTAATTTCTTACTTAGGTTTCTCATTACATAATAGAACATCAGAGTTGTTAAGAAAACAATTCTATGATTTCTACCTGTAAAATGACTTAATGTTTACTTCATGGAACTATTTTGTACTTTAATTTATCTCATGACAGGCGCACGCTGTTACCCAGCCATGCTTTTCGAAGCTTATTCGCATACCTCTCCTAAGCATATGCTCTCCTTGCAGCAGCTGAACAATAGCCGTTTGTGTTGCTGGCACAATAACAATGCTTCCATCTTCACGACCGCAAACCAAACGCCCGTGTGCTGGGATATACACACTGGCTGTAACTTTAAGTGGTTCGTTGATGTTTGGTATTAAGCTTAGTTGGTCTATAATCCCAGCAGGGCGAGGAGTAAGTTTATCAAAAGCTTCCTGGAGGGATATTGAAGTTGTTGTTTGCAGCCCTGTTTAAAAAGACACACACACCCACACCAAAAAAAAAAAAAAAAAAAGCAGCAGTAAGGCAGGAGGAGGATTTAAACCAAACCAAACCAAAATAAAAAAGAATAGAAATTAGGAATGTTTTTCTGGCAAGATCTCAAACTTCAAATATGCCATGTTATAACACTTTGAACAAAGTAAAAGTTACATACTAGAGATTAATTTACTGACTGTGTAACACAGAAACAACATATGGAAAAGTATATGATTTAAGCTGCAAGAGGAAGTTACGCAGGCAGACAGCAATGACCATAGCTAGTATTTGAAAAAAAAAAAAAAAAAGCAGTTAAAACTCAATACCTGAAAAATACTCATAGTAAATTAAGATATTGAGCATATATGAAAAAAATTAAGTTACTACAACTCTTACAAGAAGCTAACAATTAAAATAGCAGCCAGCTTCATGAATTTGTAGAAAAAGCAGCAATGTTTTACCCAGCAACAAAACACGTAACAAAACAGAGAGATGCCCAGATGCCCATTAAAAGACTTGGCAAGATGTCTGTTAATTCGGTATACCTTTTGCACTACCTTGTTGTTCAGCAGTATCAGGCACACTCCAAATACACAGTCTCCCTGAAGAATCGCCTTGGATTAACAGCTTGTAGAAAAACTCCCTGTGTCCACAGAAGAACCGAGTAACTGGAGGACATATTAGCAGCTGTTAAAGAAACATAATTAACAACCTCAGAACACATGAAAATCGGGTACTAACCTCAAAACATACTTGCCCCACATAATCCACTGTACCTTCTACAAGCAGGACAAAAACGAGCTACTTTATGCTTTATCATTCTCACAGGAGAAAGAATAAATACAGCAATATGAATCACAAGAAACTGTGGTTAGTTACAAGTCACAGGTTTAGAGGAGAAGAAAAAAGACTTTTATATACATATGGTTTTGTTCTAAATATATTTAGAACATGTTATATATGTGTGTGCTTGTTCTACAATTGTTAACATTCTAACTGCAGTGGTGAGCTGAAGACACACTACTCAAAGGAACACAGTCCATGACAGAAGCAAAGTTTTAATATTAGATTGACAGCATAAAGAAAAAAAAAAATCAAACATATAAATGTTTCAGTGTCCAAATTTGACAACAGACTAAATGGTTAAGATAAAAAAAGGATTCCTACAATAGTCTTGTAATAACAGCATTTGTAAATCCGAGTTACTTATACAGCAGTCTTAGATATATTAGTTTATAGCAGATACAGTTCACAGTACAATATAAAAATAAAGTATAGCTCAATGAGGACTTTGGCCTACAAAAGTGTATTTTCTTTACTTCGCAAGGATTTAAGCTTTCAAATTCAAAGTTGTGATTCTAAAAGTACATGCTCAGTTATTGCCTAATCATCATGCACATCACAACTTGACTTCTAATTCTCCAGGCATTGACGAATGATAAAACTGTTAGTATATAGGAACTGAAGATTCACTTCACTAGAGACTAAGCTCTGCATTTATCTGAAAACCAACAAGAACCAAACCAAACTAAACAGCAAGGAAATTGCATCTATTTACTTTCTCTAGGGAAAGGAGAAATCCTAAAGGTCTACTTTGAAAAAGAACTGGTCATGACGTACGCATGTTTCAACTCACAAAGAGAAATGCAGTCCATAAAAGAAATCCCAAACATATATTTTACCTGTTTATCTCCTCTGTCCAACACACTGTACAATAAAGGTGGAATTAAATTTTCTACTGCTTTCCCCACATCTCTGCGAAATGAGTCACTAGCTGGTAGACAGCTGGGTTTAAGAACAAAGACAGAGGAATAAAATTCCTTACATTACTAGAAAGCCATTACTACATCACTGAATAACACTAAGCAAAAACAACACCCAAGCCCTTAAACATTATATGTTTTCAACTGTTAATACAGCATAAAGCAGATCATTACTCACATTACATTAGATGTATCCAGCTCGGTTCCCACACACGTTCAGAATTGAAGGGAAAAAAAAAATGAAGGAAGCCTGGCTTTAGGTCTGCTTTGGGCTTCAACACCTCTGGCCTCAGACTCAGGACCAAAACACACCAAACCCAAGGACGACTCTGACAGATCATCAGATAGATCTGCTTGCATTCTTATGCTCTTATGACATAAGAGGGTGAGAAAGCAGTCCTTGCCTGATTTATGTGAGAATATTCAAAGGTCTCCAAGATAAAACTGTATGTCTACCCAGAACAGAGAAGTTTGCATGTCATGAAGATATCCAAAGAAAACTAAAAAGGTTTTTATTTTACTTTTGTCATTCTACATTTATTTAGCCTCTTTGATACTAATTTTAAATTAATTTTATATTTTCACATTTACACGCACAAACTCAGCTGTTAGTGCCTTCTCTTAATGGGCTGAAACAACACTCTGTTACAATAATACAATCATCATTTCCATTCTACTCCATATAGCAAAACCTTATTTCTTCCTTATTTGGACCTGGTTAAGGAAATATTTAAATTATATTTTATTGTAATTTATGACACTTGTTCAACAGCAAAATGTACCTCTTCCCATCACAAGCTCCATTAGGAAGTGAAAAAGAGTGTAATATCAGAAAATAGTGAAGCAATCTTGATTGAAGCAATCTAAATTACTCAGCATTGCTTCACCATGATACATTCAGGGGACCCACACTTTAACGTATGCTCATGGAATAGTAGTTTCTGCAACATCTATATGACTTTGTATCAAAATAAAAGCCAAAGATACTCAATATTTCTTCAAAGTTGCTCATGTTTTTATCTCAAAAAATAAATAAACGGAGCATTTCATCGTTGACTACCTGGCTGGTAATTTATATATGAAACTTTGTCCATCTTCCGTCCATACAATCACTTTATCAGCTGACACAAAGTCGCCACCAGTCCAGGTCTGATCATTTTCACTAGGAACTGAACATAAGAGGGAGTAATCTCCAGCATCAAAAACCTGAAAAGAAACAGAGAAGTCTATTGTCATTAACCAACTACAGATTAAAATGCCCAGACAGCAGCTAATTTCAGTTTCAATATAGCCACATTAAAAGGACTTAAAGCATCTTGATCTAAATGTTTTACTGGAAATTTAATTAAATCAGCTTCTACAGTGAAAAAGCAGCTAGCTTTCCTTACCCTCCAGTATTTGGAACACACTACCAACAACGACCGCTGGGTAAATGCACAGAAAGAAATGCTTTGACAGTTTTGACAATAAATAGGTTTTGACTCCTCTTCAAATACTGGTGTTGTATCCTAAAAAACAAACAAAACCAACATTAAATTAACCACATTAATTTCAGGTGTATAATTTTAAATAAAAAGACAGCCATATTACCCTCTGTAATAGCAACATCTCCAAAAAAGGCAGTTCTCAATGGTTTTAAATTTGCTTAAGTCATGAGCTTGTTTCTGTAAATTTTAACTTAAACACTTAATATTTTATTTTGATGCTCCTATGATTAATATCATATGTAAAATACCAACTTTCCTGTGATAAAGAGTCAAACCTGCAGACTCTGTCACAAGTACAAGAATAGCACATATGCTGAAGCACAGAACTAAAAGAAGCGATAGGTAAGAAATTGGCTTGTAGAGACAGACAAAAGTGACACTAACAGGAGGTTATCACTTTTATTTAGAGAGCATATCTATTAACCATAATCAGGTGCAAGTAACTGACCAGCAGGTCAGCAGAGCCAGAGCACCCAACTGCTGGACACATGAGCCCGTTCCCTTCCTCATGTCCACTAGCACGACCACATCTCAAAGTTTTCAGCCGTAGACTGACCCTAGGCCAGAGGTTAAGATTCAGTCACTGCTGATGACATTCTTCTGAGATTCAATCTAGCACTATCAAATAGCACGGGAGCTTAACCATTTGGCCAAACACCCTTTGCTGAGTCTGAGTATCAGACTGGTCCATCACATTGGTTCCATACTTTGATTCGTCTGAGCGCACCTCAGAACAAAACCTTCTCTTCTGGTTGTATTGAGGGTGGTCACTGCTAACTTGTCCAAATCCAGAACACATACAAACTAGCTCCCAACCTAATCCACAGTTGTGAGCTGAACATCTGACTGATTGTCCATCTTCACTCTGACTTAGGATACCTTGAAGGAAGGAGGGACAGCCATGCCATTCATCATTTGAAGGGTTTGGCTTACAGTTACAAAAACCTGGCTGAAACAACAGAAGGTTGCAGATACCCTGCTGTGGGTATAAACAGGAGACTTACAGAAAGACCTGCCTGCAAAGACACTCACTTTAACCAATCTCACAGGGCTCTTCTCTTTCATTAAAAAAACCACTGTACTGAGACAGGGCAGAGAAAACCAGGATATCCAGGCAACTAAGGGAGAAGCAGGGACCCAGATGTTCTAGATCATAACTCCTTACTGTTACAAACCTCTGCGGTAAGTTATTTTCCCGAAATATTATTTCCTCATCTTCAAGATGGGGAATACGCATTCTGTTCTACACAGAAACCATTTAAGTGCTCAGACAGTGTGACAGCAACCAGCATCTGCAACTGAGTTTCACAGAAAACACAGAAACACAGAACAACATGCAGATGTAAATTGGATAACAAGAAAATACCCAGCTGATTCTTTTTCTTGCTCAGATTGAACTTAGGAACATGGCAGAGACCATGTGATGGAAAAGGGACTATGCTGTTTCATAAGATGCTAGATGGCTAACTTCTAAGGAAAAATCAAACACTCATAGAAGTTATTATTCTGTTATTCCTCATAAGACAACCTGCAAGAACATGTGGTATCCTCTTTTGTCACTTAAGTCTAACAAATTCCCCAGCTGGACAGATTAGTGTTGCCTATTTAGTATCATCAGTGTCAATGAATTACCTTGCATCCAGATAATCGGCCAAAAAAGTAAGCAGATTCAGCTCACATTTCATTCTTTCAAGATTCCCCATATCCCAGATAGACTAGACTGTGATAAGCTCCCATTTAGTTATGTCTTTGTGTTTCTTACTTTAGTAACAGTCAATACTCCTCACTGCTCACAGTTGCCTTTTAAAGTGTAACTGTTAAATGTGATGTTAGCTGAAACATTAGTAGCTGCATGAGAAGGGTTTCCAGAAAATGCTTTGAGAGCAAACATACTTTCACCAAGTTTGAAACTATGAAACAAACGTGAATACCACCTCTGGCCCTGACTGGGCCAAAAGCAAGGAATCCTTTATATTGGTGTTCCAAGCTAATGCAAACTGTGTTGCTTTTGCATTATAAATATTCTGGAAATAAACACATTCATAAAAAAAATAGTTCATTTATATATCATGTTATTTTCCCGCTGCTGGGAAACCAGGACATAAACACCTATAGTCGGGTATATCTTTTACAAGAGGTTTCTGCAAATAGCTAATTTGCCAGAGGTCTACAAGTCACATATCGAATCTCCTTTAAGACTTTTATTCATTAGTATACAGGAGGGCAGGAACTGCCAAATAACAAAGCAAGCTGTAGATAATCCAACACTGCACTTATCTTTCTCAAAGGAAATACTACATTTAATAATAAATAAAATTTAATACTAAATTTATTAATAATAGTAATATAGTATAGTATAATAAAACTATAATGAAAAATTTGTAGATGTTAAGTGTAGATATCTTTAAGAGCACAAGAAATGTGCTGGAGAACTTAATCTTAAAAACGAAAAGTACTGTGATAAAGTCACTCCTATAATGGCACCACCACATTAAGACACACACTTCCTGTGCAGTACAGGGCAAGCTTTAACTCTGTGACTTATTTCTTCTACCTGTACTATACAGAGTAAACATGTATTTGTTAGCATCACCTCTTTCAACTAATGAGTACTTTTATACGCAAGACCTTGCAGTATAAGTTTTGCCTGTACTGAATAAAGTTACGCATGCAGTACAGCACCTGTATTGGTTTGGAAAATTAAATATTACTGTAACATTCTTTGTTACTAAATTCCCTTTGGAACTCAAAAGTCCTGTGAAATGTAGTAGAAGATGACTTCACAAAAGAAAAGTACTTTTAAAGAGGGGGGGCAATTAAAAGAAAAAATATTTGTGTACAGAACATTTGTATATTAACACAAATGATTACATGGTACAAATAAAAAAAAATTTTAGAAATCAGAGATTATCCTAGTCATAATTTTGAAATAAGTTCTCTGAGCCAAAGCTGAGAAAGATTAGGAGTTCTGTTGGTAACTTGAAGAATCAGCAAAGCAAAAGCAAGGAAGTTGATTTTCAAATGGCAAAGAGGAAAAAAAGGTAGTATCACTAGGTAGCCGGAAGAACAGGAAACAGCATTAATAGAAGTTCTCCCTTCATCACAACAGGAAATATCATTAATTCAGAAACCTTTGTTTACCTGCATCCGACTAACTTCAGAGGTTATTATCCATACTTTCAGGATGCCAGTCACCGAGACTGCTACAACAGTATCCTCTGGGGAAAAACAAACATTAGGCTGGTAAGTACAAGGAGGTCTTCATTTTGTTGCACACTTGCGCATATCCGAGTACAAAAATGTACTGAGAGTACCTCAACATGAAAGTTTATCAAAATATTCCTGAAGCGTTTGCTTTGCAAAGAGGTATTCCAGAAGCACATATGCACATGCACAAACACAGATTCCATGGTTTTGTGTTACAGTCTCATTCCCTTCTCTCTTAATTAATACTAGGGCTCAAATTAAATGGGGGGAAGGGAAGTCACAGTTGTTTCTAGTACAACTATCAGACACTGTGTGTTATCCCACCACTCTCCCCACAGGCAAGAGGAGATTTCTTGCTTATGCCTAGCTGCCTGCCCACAGCAGCCTGCGGGGACACTGAAGTTGCGTGGGGAGTATGAATTTTAACATACTCTAGTTGTATCGCTGCCTGAGCATCTCTTGACTGTGGGTTCCCAAAGGGCATCTCTGTTAAGTTACTCCACTAGAGTCATTACCTTCACGAAAGAAAAAGGTATATCAAGTGCTAGTCAAACTTTCTAGACATTCCTGTTTCTACCAGACAAGTCTGGTCTAAGACCAAAATCCAAGGGGTAACTTCTTGATTACAAAAAAAAAAAGAAATAAAATTAAAGGCAGTATCAGGAAACACTTAATACCAGAGTTCACTTCCAATTGTTCCACCAACTTAGATGTTGTGGGGACAGCATCTGAGCTTTCCCAGTACAGGACGTTGTCAACACTCAGTATACAACTGCCATCAGCCTTAATTCAAGATAAAAGTCAGGATTTTCTTCCTTAGTGTTTCCCAAACCTCTTGGGAATTATGGTCTCCACAACAAGAATACCTGAATGCGACACCTCTCCTGCTCAGCTGCCAGAATTTAAAGCGTAGCAAATTAACACAAACTAGCAGAGCAAAACAGATGCACGGACAGGTATCACTTCAAACTATGTCAACGAATCCACCACCGAACATAAGCCTACTCACACTCCTCTCCACTAAACTGACTGTCATCACACTTAGAAGTTCCTCCCCCTACAGTCTTCAGGCTTTTTAATCCTATTGTGTACTTTAATCAGCACATTCCTTAAACACGTTTCCCACAATAATAGCTTTGAAAATGTTACCACAGTGCTTTCTGTAAAGCTACTAATCACAAAGAAATACTCCTGGTATGTATCTTGTCAAAAATTACAACGTATAGTTTGCCAAATGATCTCAGATGTATTCTACACATCACGTTAGTAATGCAGATGACAGCCATAGCATTTAGAGTGCTTGTACGCCTTCCTTCAGTCTTGTGCCAGTTTCCAGGCTCTAGCTGTCAAAGAGTGCTCTCCAGATCTCTTTCCCAATTCTCAAAGAGAAAACAAGTTATCACCTTAGTGGAAAGCGCTTTTATTTAAAAAAAAAAAAAAAAAAAAAAATCACTCTTCTTATAGGAAGGTTCCTTGTCCTTCAGGTTTCAGCACATGCACACGCTGAAGATGACAGAACTCAATCTATTCACTAGGTGAGCCTGGATCCTGCCAAGTGTGCACACAGAGTGGTAGCTAAATTTTAGGTTCTGTTCATGAGAAAGCAGTTACATTTTAGCCAGAGTCAGAACTCCCATTTGATGGAACAACAATAGAGACAATACTGCATAGATAATAACCTAGCCTCTTTTTCAGGGACTGGAAACAACTATGTATGCTTTGCTTTTCTGAAGGGTTAGTGCTTGCTGGGTGTTGCCCAAGTTCACAAGAAGTAACATTCTAGCTACTCCCCAGGTTCTTGGAAAAGTTGAAGATAGCATTTCTCTTAGAGGGAGCCAAAGGCATAATAAAAGCAACTAAAATAATTACCTTGTGTTCTATCGGATCTAATGATAGTCATGGAGCTGATCCAGTCAGGGGATATCTTTGATAATAAAGAATAAAGAACTTCAAGGCTGGTAGCATCCACAACAAGAATTTCTGGATAGTGTCCATGGCACAATAGTCTCCCTTCACGCTGAGTCCCAACTGTAAACTGATAGAACTAAATGGATATTAACAAAATACAAAAGTTACACTCCTTGTGAGACATTGATTACTTCATTTTTAATCAAAACCATGATTTCCTAAGTATATTCTAATGCCTGTATGTTTAAAAATTACTGCACTGATGAGGAGAACTTTTTGCAGAGGCCTCCTTTCTCCTGTTACCCTCCCAAGGCAATCCTTGCCCTGTACACTCAGCTCCTGTAGCTGACAAAAGCCTGCCTCAGCCTTCCCTGCTAAGATCATCCTCATGCTCCCACTTCACCTGGCAGTACTCCTCCAAAAATCTTCTCCTTTTCCTCCTTTCTTTCCAGTCTCTCTAATTATGATACATTTTTTCAAATGCTGAGGCACACACGTATTTCCAGCTTTAGGACATTTGATGATACAGCATAAACTATTTATGGGATACTTCAGTATGCATATAGTGTCATTATTAAGCCTAAAAAGAATCCAAACAGCCTTGTTTTGATAACTAATCTACAGTTATCTATGCTTTACAATGTAGAAGAGGTCCTCTGAAACATACACAAAGTACTAACCTGTATGCCAGTATGTGTACAGGCTAGTTTAGTAAACTCTATGCATCTCCCATCATTCACATCCCACAGACACATCTCCCTAAAACAGAAAAGGCAAATTAAAACTACACGGAAAATATTTCAGTCTTCCAAGGGTTTAAAAATCATTTACACTGGAAAGAAACTTAACCATTTGAACAATTTGTTAGTGACTATATGGACAGTATTTAGATAAAGAAAACTTCATCAAAATCAACTTGAATTTCCAGTCCTTCTATCTGAATCTACACAACCTCTTCTTCCATAAAAAGATAAGGGGAAACAAGTCAAATGTCAAGGTGCATCGTAAACAAACAATATTAAGTAAACTCAAGGAGGTAACTGAGAATTTCTCACAAATGTTTCAGGTCATTACATATACTTCTGCCACACCCCCTAAGTCACCTAAAGATTAGCTTGCCTTCTCTGCATTTGTGAGGAAGAAAACAGTATTACAGAAAACAGATCTGTGTCAGATGGCAGTGGGCCCTGCGGGTTTTTCTGAGGGCCCAGGCTGTTAAGATGTGGAAGCATCACCTGCTACTCTTCAGCACTTCTAAGGGCAAACTGAAAGCACTGAGCAACGAACTATAAATAGTTCCAGTAGATACTTTTCTGATTTGCCTTATAAGCAAAGATTACAGTTACCCCTATGTATTCATTCAAATTAGCAGCCATTCCCCCTATTTATGGTATTTAAAAAATATTACTTTAAAAATTTTATATTAAAATTTCATCAGAACAGAATCTGCCGGCTGCTTTCTCATCTTTTTCCCCTTTACATCAGATATATCATTTCACAACAAAAAACATATTTTGGTTCAAAATCCAAAGGAAAAGATTACTTAGTACTGAAACCAGTACAAGGTGGAAATTCTACTATCAACTTCAATGTTAAAAGATTATTTAGTCATATTGTTCCCCACCTTTTCCAGATGAAAAACTTCTTTATTTTATTTGGATACATAACAGACCTATACCTGGCCAGCTACATTTATACAGGCAGAGGTTAAGAAATTTCCTCCTCAACCAGAGTTGATCAAAATCAGCCTCAGCCTGGAGATCCACCTTTTGGCAAACAGCCTCTTAAAAACAAAGCAAACAAACAAAAAAACTGCAGCCTCACAAACTTCTTCTTCCTTTTATAAGTTTGCTTTGCACAGCAGAAAAGTCTGTCATTCAGTACTTTTGTACTTTTTTGACCTTTTTTTGTCAACAGCAAGTTCCATGCATCAATGAAAAAGCAACCCTCAAGAACAGACTGATGCTCAGGGAATACCTTGGCAAATACTTTCAGGTTAAATATTTTGCCTAATGAAAGGCAGCAGAGTTGGAAATGTTAACTTTTCAAAGCAAACTTTGAAAAGGCAAAGTGGAAAGGCATGTTTTAAAAAGAAATTGCACATGCATACCACATTAAAGTGTTCAACATCTTCACTAGTTTAAGAAGGAATATTATGATGTGTAATTACAACTTCTTTCCAAAATACTGTTATTCTGGAATAAAAGTAACCATCTCCACAAAGAGAGCTAATCCTTTTTAAACCTATACCATACCTCAACACGTAGCATTCCCCGTGCTGTTAAGACTCAAGAAAGAGGTGCTAAAAATCAGCAGTATTATGAGAAGGCCTGCCATAAGACAGGAGTGAAGGGCAACCCATCTTGTTCAATGCAAGTCCATTGAGGAAGACAATTCATTTATAACTGAAGTGCTGGCACCTCTACTTAGGAACTCAGAAACTATTCTAAACTCTTGGTAACAGCAGTAATTATTCCAACTCCCTGAATGAAAACTAGGCTCATATTTTGGGGGAAAAAAAGTCTCCTGCCTTCCAGAATGATACTATCAGAAGACCAAGACCATGGCCTGTTTCCTAGAAACTGCTCACTGGTAATGAGGACTCGCTTTCATATAGCCAGCCAGAGTACGAGTGCATACACAAGGACACAGGGAATGCATCCTCCCACTTGCAGGTGCTGGCCTGGGCTCACGAACAACTTTGTTTACTGCTGTCTGGCCTTGAAGAGCTCTTGAGAAAGCACCAGAAGATGTCTCGGTGAGGGCTCCTCATCTCTGCAAGGCTGTTTAAGCTGGGCCCTCTTCCCGTCCGGCCTGAGCTATGCTGTGCTGCCAAGCACGGCTCCAGCTCCTGCCGGCTACTAACGCACAGGGGCACGGGGAAAATCTCTCCATAGTGGGAGGGGAACTGAATTCAGACAGCAAAAGCTACAGCATGAAACTGCAGTAGGACAAGTTATTTAGCCAGCTGAAAGTGCTCTCCCAGCAGAGGGTAGTCAGTTACTAAAGATCCTGTACTCAGCTTGGGGTAGAGGACGGGAAGGAGAAGACGTGGAGGGAATTAACACGTGAGTTATAAACCGCAAAACTAGTTGGCCCCAAAGCTTTGGCCTGCTATTTATCAAATTGTGCATCTTTTCAAGAAATTAGCCAAAAATCTAGGCTTAAATGTGAGTGTACAAAGTATATTTAAAAGTTAGAATAAGATTTTATTTTCTTCAAATTACCTGACTGCAATCCCCATTTATGTCAATTGCATGAGAAATCCTTCCCCCTTCCACCCTCTAAACAGTTGCTCTGATTAGTAAATAAAACCACTTAAAAATAAAATGTATTTTTTTACTTCTTTTTCTTAAGGATAAAAACCAAACATTACAACAGAAATACAGAAAAATTGTGTGACAGGTTTCCAAGTTTTGAAACGTTAGGAATCCTTTCCTGCCAACAAGCTACAGTACAATTCAAGCTTGCTTTCACTCAAGAAACAGATCTTGGATAAGCTGAGAAAAAGGTGCAAAATACAGATCTACTGTCAACTGAACTGACCAACTCACTCAAGCAAAAAGATGACAGAAAGCACAGAAGTGCCTTGCTTGACTGAAGGAAACAACGTCACACATCTCACTGCCCATCCAAACATAAATCACACCCAGTGCTCCACATACTGCTTTACGTACAACACGCAGCGTTCTGCCGCTGCCTCCCAAGGTACAACAAACATCAGAAGAAGCCCTCCAGCATCACCGGCACTTCCCTATGCTCTTGTCAGGCCACGAATCCAAAATGCACACCACACTCAATATCTACAGTGCAGAAGTACCATCATTTGGACATCATACTAGGCATTATACAGAGACCTTATACTTAGTAAAAAATACTGTGTATGTAAACAAACTGATCTCTACCCTCAATTTCCATTTTTTAACAGATCTGCATATTAATAAATCCTCAGGAAACTCACCCGCTTTCTGATGCACTCACTATATACTGCTTTTCACTGGAAGCAGAGGCCTTTGATAAACAAGTAATTGAGGCTGTATGACCAAACAACAGAGCTCTGGGATTAATCTAGAATCAGGGAAATAAAATGTGAAGTAAAAACAGCATAAGCACTATTACTTAACCAGAATATACATATTCCAGATTTCCATTTTACATATTATATAAATATATGTGTGTTAATACCTATATACACACACTTAATTAGCATAGCAGCAGATGTATAATCTTAAGAGTTTGCACAGAATGCTGCTATAGTAACATGAAAAAAGTTTCGGCCTAATACCATAATGCAAATTTGTGAAAAAATGCATTTTGCAAACTCATGCTATCTACATTTTTAAATCATAAGCTGAATTTGGCCCAATTTGAATGAAAAAATTGTGTTGTACTGCAACAATAGCCTTCTCCCCCAATGAAGTATAGTTCACAACTCTATATATTCATAAATAAGTTTATGTAAAGCCCACGCATAGATTAAAGATAAAAAAGAAAACTGCCCTTTATTTGTCCTTTCTAAAAAGAACTAGTTGCTTTCTCCTGGTCTCTCTTTTTAAATATACCAGACAAACATAATTTATGGGGGTAACTCACAGAGATTTTTAGGTATTCAGTGAAGCATGCTGCCTTTTTTTTCCCGCTCCCCCCCAAAGAAAGGATTGTTTTGCTATTCCATTCCAAGAGTTTAAAACTCTTTGTACCAAGGCAAACTACAAGATCGTATTCAAAACAGACACTTGCAGGTTTCTACTCCACGGCAGTCACTGGCATAAAATAATTCATCATCAACCTTTACCTCTGCTACTAGGCTTTTTTTCCTCTTTCAGCTTTCAAGGAAAAAAATGGTTGAATAAAAAGAGAACTTTTAAAGGTTATTAAAGTACAGTCCTCTGATCACTGGCATCGGTTTTCACAAAACAATATTAAGCAGCTAAACTTGAGATTAGCAACCAGTTTAGAGCAGTTCCAGAAAAGAGGAAGTAATTACTTAAAAAAAAAAATTACTGCAGGAGCAGCAATAAAGTTCAAGAGCAAGTGTGTCTCTTGCTAGTCTGAAATATTCACTACAGGAAGCATGTAGTGTCAATACAGGGCTCATAAGAGGGAGGAAGAAAGGACAGGTGAACAGGGTGTAGAAAGAACTGAAGACCAGAATGGATACTATAGTATCAAAGAAGAAAATCACACTGGCGACAATGGTACACACCTTAAACACAAATAAAATTAAGATTACACAGACTTTAGTCTTACCTCTAAATCCAAAGAAAGGTCCCAGAGACATATTTGTCCATCGTGGCATCCTGTGACAATGACTGATGCGTCCTCCATGAGCAGCAGGGTGGATATGCAGTGCGTGGGGGCTTTGCGGCCCCACAAGACGATGGGCAGAACGAGGCTGTTTCCTGCCATTTTGCTTTCACTCCTGCCAATGTAATCAAGATGATAAATATTACATCTCAGCAGGTATGCCATTCCTGCACTTAGCACATTCTTATCCTCACAAAAACTTTAAAAATTAGTCTGAAGCAACTTCATAAACTTGTTACACAAATGAAACATAGTCACCATGTATGCCACTCTTCAAATAAATTACAATACACAATCTTACCCCTACTCTCATCAGAGAATGCATTCAACTTCCTATATGGATCAAACAAAATTCTTTGTAAATTGAAAAAAATACAGTGAACTGCAATAGGATTATAACCTCACAATTTTGACTTCTTACACATTTTGCAAAAGATACTTTTCATCTACATGTATAGGTACCAAATATTATATCCCTATGCACGCAGGTACTTTTGCCACAATCACTCCTTTTAGAACAATTTTGAAGTAACAAATGCTTTAAGTCAAGGGCCGCAGCAGCTGTTATATGCCCGATAGTAGGGTTCATCCCCATCTGCAAATGCAACCACCTTTAGTCAAAAATAGGCTCTGGAGCTTTCCATAGACAACGATGCACTTACCAAAAATACCGTTCTGTTAGAACAGTGTCACACTGACATGGCTTTTTCAAATGGATATTTGTGTCAGAATATGTAGTACCCTGCATTAGGTGAAATTAGAGGTAGAAAACATTTTCAAGGTTTATGCCACTCCTTAACTCATACTCTTACTCTGATAGTTCATACCACCTCTCACACAGCTAAAGAGGCTAAATAAACAAACAAAAGCCAATTAGAAATAGAAATAGTGTGATTAAAAATCTATGTCGGTTTTGAACCTTTCAGTTTCTGGTTTCTAAGCCTGAGCGGTAAATGTTTTCAAAGTGTCGCCTCTCTAATGTCGGTGGCTCAAGATTTACTTCTATAGCCTGCCTTCTAGGGCTAGCAGAGCCAGATGCAAGCAAAAGCTCCTTAGACGGGGTGATGGAAAAGGAATGAGAACATGCAAAATCAAAAGATGTGCTCTGAGGGGAAAAAATCCTTACTAGCATTATCAACACTATTTAGAACTAAGGAAAGCTAGGAAAGAAAGAAAACAGCAAATACAGACCACTTCTGATGCACTCTCATTTCTCCACCGCTACCAACCACCATGAGCCCAATCCCAAACGAGAACTGAAGGGATTTAGAGACTGAGATTCAACAAGCAGGCACTGACTTATTCCTGCAACACCCTGCACTACAGCACTTCAGGATCCACTAGATGTGCACAGTAGCACTAGATGTGCTTATTAAATATGTGAAGGTAGTTTCAATCACCGTGATTTGCCATCTGAACAAGATTCTGCGCACTATCCAACAAGAAATAGATGCAACACTATCTTCACAGCAACATTTAGTATCCTATAAATATATTGACACAAGTAACATGGGGAAATTTTTATCTGTCAAAGCCAAAATTTTCTTGGTGACTGGGAAATAGAGAACAACAAACATGTTCGAATCATAACTTCAGAGAGGAAGAAATGATAGAAATTCAAGTTGTAGTAATAAAAACCAGTTAGGAGGATTAGCACAAGATTTAAACACCAAAACAAACCACTGTTTTTGTTATCAGCATTCTGAGCTTGCCAGCAACTTCAGTGTTTTGATTCTGTACAATCCTTGAATGTGAGTTTGCTTATACTGATGTTGTCAACGGCTGGGCAAGGGCCGATGCGAGCAGCAGCTCTGGGAACTGCCTGCCTGCACCCCTCTGGCAGGGAACACAAGAAAGCCCACGCACAGGGAAAGGAAACAGTAAATACAAGACTTTCTTCTGCTTTCCAGGTAACCAGCTGAGCTCATGACTCATTTGGGTATATTTTTACGTATATTCTGCAAAAATGCTGGAACTTAAGTTATAGTGCATTCTACTTCAGAGGAGGGAAAAAAATTCTGAATTATGACAAAGGAAAAATAAAGGTCATCCTGAATCCAAGTCGGGTTCACTAGAACTTTACTTCCCCACTGTGATAACCACAGTTCCGCTGGTGTCCCCGTGATACTCCGATCAGACAACTGCCGTGGTTATACGGAACTAACTAGCAAACCTAGTGGAGTCATGCTGAGCCTCTGCCCAGCTACCGCCAACCACCACAAAGCAACCCCGCCTGCCCTTTTAGCAAAGGGAGCACAAGCATGAGCTCCAGATTTCCATGGAAGTTGTGGGAACTTAATCAAAATTCTGTTCCACTGAAAACTATCACGCAAGGTTTAGTGTCTCCCCTTTGAGACAAACTCAGATTTGATATAAGTAGAGGCAACTACAGAGACCGTGATTGTACCAGCCACGAACTTGACCTTTTGATCTTACACTACCCTGGCCATTCCTAGTGGTGACTCCCACACTTAAACAAGTGCTTTCTGTACCAAAAATACCTTCTATTTCAGAACATTTTTTTTTACTATACTACATGGAGTTTAACATAAATTAATGTCATCTCATCTGTATGAAAATTACAGTGCGATTTCTACAAGAAAGCATTTTTTTAATTAATTTTGACCAATGCTGCCTGTACTCCTAGTGCAACCAAGCTCTGCAGCCAGAGAAATCGAACCTGATAATGTACATGGAAAAATGGGGGAAGGGAAGGCAGCAAGAGCAGTGTAATGAATAGCTAAGTATGACGAACCGTAAAACATCTTAGGGGGCCAGCTAGAGGTACTCGAACTTCTGAAAAGTGAGAAATGTGTTAAGGTTTTTTCACAAAATCCATAGCATAAAAGCAGTAGTTTCACTTACTATGAAATGCCATTTTATGCCAACTCTTTTCTTGCATCCAGTTGGACTGTCTTTATTAACAACTACTTATTTTAGTCAGAGTTGTCATTTAATGGACAAGTATAAATAAAGACCAACAATCAAGCAGTTGCAATCTACTGCAACATCCTAACAGCTGCCCTGGAATTAGTAGTTGTAAAACATGCCTGTAAATGTAGTGTTAATTGTTACGCAATGGTAGATCAATTGTTCTGTCTGGACCATCACAACACAGAACCGTTAAATAATTTAAAAATTTTAAGGAACATGGTGATATTACTAAGAGCTACACTTCTAAAAATACTTGATTTAAGAGTGAAATTACCATAAAAACACAGTGAAAAACAGAAATAAAGAGTTGAGATGTAATACAAAAACATGCAATCAGAAACAAGAACAACAACAACAATCACCAAAACAAACAAATAAAAATACCCATCTAACTCTTATCACCCAGTTTTTGTAATGAAATAAAACAAAGGACACACTAGGAAAGGTAGGGAGAGACAGAAATTTCTTTGCTTTTTATATATTAAAGCACTTGAATACCAATTACGGTGCAATATTCTTTACCAAGTGTTCTTCCCTTGCTACCTGCAAAAAGCTCCCTTCAGCAGCTCCACTACGGTGGAGCAGAAATGCAAGACTGCCTAGATTAATCCTGAGAGATGCCACAATGGCAGCCCCCGCAGGTAACACACAGCGCACTCCTCTCACCCCCGACTAGAAGACACACTGGTTCGCGGTGATCTCAAAAGCACTTGTTCGACCACACTTCCTCCAAGGGTGTTTTTTTCATGACAGTAAATAGGGTTTGATCAGCAGTGTAATCTATGCACTAAGTTTTAATGGATAAGAAAGCAATCCATCAATAATTTCAGAGATGAAAAATGTACGAGGAAAAATGCTGGTAAGCAATGTAAAAATACGTTCTCATTCCTTTCCTGTTGCTCACAGTTCAGGGACCAAGTCACAGTATTTACATGTCACCTGATTGCTTCAGCAATGCAAACGGTTGCACTTTTGAACAAATACAGAAGATCCCCTACCAAGAGATAAAATTGCTCCTTGAAATTTTGCAGTCAGTTTAATGCTCTTCCAAACTACTGATAAAAAAACCTTTAAAATCAATAGCACTATAAATATATACTTAAACTGAATTTTCAGAAGGAACATATAGGATATTACAACACACAACAGTATTAGCACATATAAGTAACTTAATGTATTTTATATTTTCCATGCAGAGAAAGTACTGAAAACATCAACAGCAAAATACTTTCTAAAGGCTTACAGATATTCATATTTCAAAACTTTTATCTAAGAGAAGCAGAATTCTTAAAATATTTCACATCAACCCTTGGGAGAGAGAGCAAAAAGAAAAACTACCTCTTTCCTTCTAGTTTTTTATTATGGTACCGCAATGCCTTCATTAAAAACTTCGTTTTCAGAAAGTACCACAAGCTCATTTTAACAGCTGAAGACTTCAGTCTACAAAGAACAACCCTTCTCTATCATTGGCAAACACTGAATACATCCCCTGCAAAAACCAAAACTCACTCACTGTCTGTAAGCAATCAATAACTTTTTTACATCAATGATCACAAACTGCAGCAGCAAGTAAACACTGTACAACTAACAAATGGTCAAAAAGCACACAGTGAGTCATTATAAATGAAATCCCACATTCTAGTCATTTATACCTTTCAAGAATAAACTATTTTTGCAGAAAAGGGAACGGGAACTTTGAACTGGAAAATGGCGATGTCAAACTGAGTTGAGTTCTTCCTGCTTAATACCCCTCTGTCTTCATCGGGATTGTTAAGTTTTTCTCTGTCACTTCCATGAGTGCCAGAATCCCAGTTTCCTTCCTCCAAACTCCCAATAAAAGAATGGGTTGGTGTTACTGCATGTATGTAGGGGGGTATGTGTGTATACAGACATGTGTACATACAAATGCATACCTGTAGTTATTTTACTTCACTTTCAAATTACCTGTCTCAAAGAGACAATACACAGGTGCAGGGATGTGGGAAAAGACTCTCCTGAAAAGACTTGACAAAAGCGGAGGCTCTCTTTTTCATTCTCTGCCCCACATCACAGGATCTTTTCTCTCCCTCATATTTGCTTTTTCATAAGGTAAAAGTTGCAATGTAAATCACAGCAGCACTCCCATTTGCAGTGCCTTAGGAAGTTATTTCCACTCACATCTTTGGAGT